TCTTCTACGGTACATGAAGAGGTTATACACAGGAAGCCACCAAATAGGAAATATAATAACAACCTGCATATATTATAGGGTCCTTAATAAATTCATAATAGCCATAGTACAAAGGATGGATAAAAGTAAACACAAGTTCAATTCTAACCGAAGCTGGAATAAAATAAAGCCATTAGGTATAAAGTTCGGGTAATTGAGCAGTTGCTGTAATTCACCAAATTTTATAAACAAACAAACATACTTCTTCTATTTTTTTTGCAATAAGGATAGATAAAATTAATTAGTACCAGACTAGAAATGTCAGAATTACAAAGTCTCAAGAAGGCAGAATTAAGCAGTATCTGTCGCAAAGTCGGGATCCACGTCCTTGCTAAAGACACTAAACAAAAATTATTCGAAAAGCTTTCAGCTTATATCGAAGCCAACCCTGAAGAAGGCTTGATTGCGGTGCAAAACAGCTTGGACATGGAAAGTGACGAGGAAACGTTAGCTGAGGCACAAGATGCTAGTGAGGACGAAGAAACCGACGAGGTTGAAGAGGAAGATGAAGAAGAAAGCGAAGACGAAGACAAAGACTATGAGGCAGGTCCACCAATCAACTTGAAGGAGTGGATTGTTGATCCAGCAATCGAGTTTTTCGAAGAAGGTTACTCGAAGGTATTGGACTTCACAGACAGAATCGGGGCCACGACCTTGGATTACAATGATGAATTAAGAGAAAACTTGTCGAGATCTGTTTCGTTGAACTACATTGAACTTTTGATTGAACTTGCTTACTTCTTGTTCACTTACATCCCGCTTGTTGCTGTTAAACACAACCACTCTGTGCACCAAATTTTCAGAGATAACATTAGCTATATGTCTTGTTGTAATGTGTTGTTGCCAGATATTAGCGTACTTTTCGAATTCAAGGTTATCTCAATTTTTGGCAATTGGATTGTGACTTCTATTGTTTTACCGTTAGTTATCTCCTATTACGTTAACTTCACCAGAAGATGTATTATTATCGATGAAGACGATTCTGGTCTTATTACCAGAGCTTACAAGTATGATCCATTTGTTTTCGCTTTATCAAAAGTGCTTATTTTCTACTTTATTGTTAAGAATGCTGGTACTTTGACTGCTCTTGATTCTTTTGGTGGTATTTTCAGTGCTTTGAAAAAACACTTCTTGATCCAATTGGGCGTTTACACCCAGTTTGCTGATGTCTTAGGAAGCTTCCCATTAGTCCTTGGTTTTGCCAATGTCTTGACTGCTATTTACTCTCAATTTGAAGAATATTAATGAGCGACAGATTCGTTTTTTTGTTAATTTTTCACTTCGTTGTTAGTTCTATGTTTACTAGCGAATCGTTTTCTTTAATAAGGAAGACATTCTTGTATTTGCTCTTCTTCTCTATTTGTTTTATTTTGGAATGATCAAAAATATCCTTTGATGTTGTATATTGTTTCTTAACTTTATTGATACTTATTGTAACACTATTAATACTATATATATAGTTTATCTATATGTTCGCAAATATGATTTTTAAATGTAGAACACAATATAATGATAAATGCCTATTTGGTGTACTGAATTGGCCACCTTGTTTTAACACCCATTATTTCCAAATCATCAGTGAGTTCATCCGGATTAGCACCTTGAGGACCTGTAAAATGCTTCATTATTTTGGCTAATAGCAAGGATTCTGTGTATTTTGAACTTGATTTATCACTATCATCGATTAGCTTATCGCCTGGGTTGTTACCACCTCTTCTACCTCTTCTTTTCGACGGTGTACCGGTAGTACTTTCTGATGCATTATTAGTATCTGAACCAGAAGTGATTGGATCGTACAAAGAACTTTGGAATATATGATGTTTAATATTGTCGAATGCTTTTGAGGTTGCTGATTTTGAAGAATCCTTGGATTGCTTACTTTTACTTGGTAAGTCTCCTGTGATTATATTAAATTCATTCGCAGAGATTAAAGGCATATAATCATGAACAACCGGAGCATTATTTCCAGATTGCCTTGTTTTCTCATTTTCTCTTCTGGTTGAATTCATGATTTGTTTGATTTCAGTGTTAAAATCCCTTTCTGATATTCCATTAAACAATTTTGTGGATTCTTTACTTTTGACATCAAATAAACCATCCTTTGAGTCTCCGCTTTTTATTGCATCCTCAAATATATTCTTCTGGAATTCGAAGAAATTTTTCAATTTCATCAATTTATTCAACACCAAAGCATTTACGTTTTTGTAGACCTTATTCGACTCCTGATAAAATATCAATAAGTTTTTTAAATACTGATAGTTAAAATTAATTTTCAATCTTACCAATTCTTCATCCCTGCGCTCCTCTAAAAGCTTTTTATAGTTCAATAATTCTTCATCCTTCAATTGATCATCCGACCCCAAGAATTGAATTTTCGAGTCTTTTAAATTTTGCAATCTGTCCAACAACTTTTTCTTTTTTGTAATATATATATCATGCTTATGATTAGTTTCAAATTCTGACAATTCGTCAACCGACATTTCCAATTCTTTCCTTCTTTTTTCTTTATTGATACCGTTGGCAGAACTAATATCTTTATTAGAATGTGACATAATTTTATTAGAGTTTAGTGGCTGTATCTCTTTAAATTGAGTTAATGGATCTAAAACATATTCATCATCCATTTTTTCCGTTTTGACAAGCTTGTTTCGTTTACTTTTAATGTCACTGGTATTTGGAGTTATCTTCAAATATTCTGGAGGATAGCTGTTATCCAATTCAAAGGTTTTGGCATAATTAACCAGCTTAGCGTAACTATCAAACGCATCTGTTACATCAACATTTGAAGCGTATTCCATATAATCTTCGAGATCGTCGGAGTCAAATTCTTCATCTTCAGATTCGGATTCTTTAGTTGAGATTCCCAACTTCTTTTTATTTTTCAAAGCTTCTAACTTTTTGCTTTTCATGATTTCATATTGCTCGTACGTAAAGCCTTCTTCGTCCGCTTGAATTCTTAAATCAAAAAGTGAACCGGCTGCACTGGCCAAAACCATATCGATTCTTGGTAACTTTTGCAGCGCCTCCAAGAATGATGCAAACACTTCGTTTGGCGTAAGCGAAGATTGATCTGATATCAATGGATATGGCATGTAATTTGGAGGCGGAAATGGTAATGGAGGCATTTCAACGTACTTTTCGTCAGTTGTAGGAGATATTGGCATCCCCGCATCAGCTTTTACGGGTCCGACTACAGGTGTTTCACTCTTAATAACCGGTGGAGGTGGATAAATGAATGGTATCATCATACCTCCCTGCGGTGGGGCCATTTCCTTAGACAAATATGGTGGAATTGGAGGTGGGAAATTTTGCAAAATTCCCTTAATCTGCTTCGAGATATTGGGATCCGTTACATCAGTAGTCACATCGGTAAAAAAATCTTGCGTCTGTAAAGGAGGATAAATAATAGGTAATATGGATGGGGGAACTGAATGAAGAATAGGTGCAGAAAACGGTTGCTGAAAGCTGATTTCGGTCTTTCTATTTATCTCATCAAGAGACCTCGGGACATTAGAGTACTTTCTTCTTTTAAGGACGTCAACTGGATGCTCCAACGTTGAACTATGCATTTCACCGTTAAACGGCCTTTTTCCTGGTGAAAAATTAGGATTGTCCATCTTGTAGCAGCAATAAAGTTATCAAATTTACTTCTTCACTTTCCTACCAAGAATACGTTAATGTATTTGCAAAGATAACCACAACTATTAGTTTCAATACTAAAATAGTTCCGCTTTAATTTAATCACACCAGATTAAGTGATAAAATAATCAATTGATGTAAAAATTAACTCAACGATTCGAGCTAATAATTTTCCTGACGTTATGTAGAATATTTCTTATTTGAAAAAATATTCTAATTCCTTATGCCTAACGTTCAAAATATACACGTATGGTTTCTTGACGCCAATATACCTTTCGTTCGCTTTGCACAATATATATTATAACGAGTCTGTTTAGAGGTAATTAGTGTTCCTTGAGCATGTCGCAGCTTTTTTTCTTGAAGCACAACACAGATTATGTAATAATTTTACGATCTACACCTCTTTACGCCGCCATTGAAGACGATGTACTTGTGAATATTAGGTAGAATTGATAAAGGCCATACTGCAATATATCCTGGGACAATGGGTTGTAAAGACGAATTGAAAAGTACATTAATTTTGCATCAACAGACCCAGGACAAATCGAACAAATTGTTTACAAAATATCGTTGTGGACGGAACATGTCGGACAACATTGTTGTGTTGCTAAAGGTCTAGCATCATAGAATCGATGCCAATGAGAGGCATATGCTTTTCGAGCCCATGCTTCTTTCACGGGACAAAATAGGTTCCGTTCTGTGGATAACAATAAGACGGTCTCACCTGAGCGAAATTTTGGCAGAAGGAGACCCAGAGCCCATTTGCGTGGCTTACGGCGCTGGAAACAACTACAACTAGGAGGTCATGGAGGTCTTCTGAAGGGGAAATTGCCCGTATGTATGACAGTACAGACTGCTGCAACCCTTTAGTAGCACAGTATAAGCGAGTCGTGCACCGACACAAATAGTTTGGCCTTCAGTAGGTTTAAATTAGCCATTGTAGTCATGTACGGTGTTTGTTCAGAGTTAGCAAGTTTATTCATAGTAAGTGATTAATTCAATAAGATACCGGGATCTATCAATAGAGATTGCGTGCAAACAGGTTGTTCCCGAAAGATCACGAATCGAGTCATTGAATTTCATATTGCTTCTGTTTACATACGATATACACGTATACTGTCAACATAACAAACAAGATCGTTTCAAGAGATAGGGAAAGAAACTAGATTCGATATTTGAACAAGGAAATTCAATTCAGTCACACGTAGTAATAGATTACGATTGAATCAGGAAGAAATATTTGAAAAGTGATTGGAAGTATTTAATTGCTGTTTACTGGTGTCAACTGTTGTTATTATATTCAATTCTATATTAATACCAAAATGCCACCAAAGAAGATAAAAAAGGCCCAGTTCGAGTCTCGGGATTTGGTATTGGCGAAAATGCACGGGTTTCCTGCTTGGCCATCGTTTGTGATGCCCGAAGACATGGTACCGGATGCAATAATGAAGGCAAAGAAGAAAACCACAAACTATTGCGTTATTTTCATTCCGGATGGAGACTTCTACTGGATGAATGACAAGAACCTCGAACCTTTGTCGGAGGAGAAGTTAGATAAAAAGTTGGAAAAGATCCCCAACAATAAACCGAAGAAGAAAGCTGGGGGGAGGACACTTCAGGTTACTGATGCACTCTTAGCGACAAAAGGATTGGACTTTGATGAGTTCATGGAAAGGTTAGACAAAGATAGAATTCAGGGTGATGAGGATGAAGAAGAGGCAGAGGGATACGAAGATGAAGAGGAATACGATGTAGATGAAACAAGCGAATCAAAAAAACCGAATGTCGATGAAGAAGAGGAAGCAGCAACAGAAGGAGTTGCAATGGAAGAAGAGGATGACCTGCTGTCAGAGAAAAATAACAGATCGAGAAGGAAGCGTTCTATATCAAGTAACGGCAAGCGTAAAAACTTGAAGGCTTCCAACACCACACCGACAGCGTCGTCACAGGCTGAATACACGAACGGTCATAATAAGACTAAGCTGGGGGGAAGTCCGAAACTCACTGAAGAAGAGAAACAACACCAATTATGGCTATGTCGGATCAAATTACAACGATCATTAATTCAAAGAAACCAACCCGTTACCCCTGCAAACCCCAAACAGTTTCCACCTCCCACCGCCAACGAGCTCCTGGTCGCTAGACTCATATTACACCGTCTAGTCGAGTTTCCTGTAAATTTAGAATTGCTTAAGAAAACCAAAATCCATAAAGTACTCAAATGCATATTGAGGGATAAGGACCTCGAGTATCCCGACAGTTTCAAATTGCACGAAAAATGCGAGGAATTGTTAGCGAAGTGGAATCCTATAATCGAAGACCTAAAGGTAGAAAAGCTGAAGGATCCTAATGGCCAGAACTTAAACCATAACCATTCATCATCCACAACGAGTGCGCTAACCGACGTCAAAAACAACGAGTCCAGGCTCAGCAGTCTGGCACCTGACGACTCAGAGATCTCGGCTCTCGAAAACGTCACCAACGACTCCATAAAAAAGGAATCTGCCAATGGCAACTCCGACTACCGCTCTGAAAACGATGCCACCGTGCAGTCTGATCTCAAAAACGAGCCCAAGGACTCCGAAGACATCAATGAATCCGTCACCAACGACGTGTCTGTGATAAGCTGAGACTAATAAGCCAATTTACGCTACAAGTTCCATCAACTCCAATCTTCCCCCCTCCTCATGCACCAACAACCCAAATTCACCCACATCCACCACCAATTCCTCGCCAGCAGCACCGTCGCCGTCTATATTAAACCACAACAATCGTCCACTTGCTACTTACACCCAATTGACACACGGCCGAGTATATACTTGATACTGTATAAACCAGTTGCTTAATATGTATTATACACTATAAAATGATGCTAAATCTGCTTGTAGAGATTTGTAGACATTCTACGTCACCAACTTAACTACGGGTGTATGGATCCATACGGAGATAAAACTCGGGGTCAAGGTCGGGTAATCTCCTTTTTTAATCGTGCCAGGATCTACGCACCACTTTCCAAAAGTTGCGCCATAGTTAAGCAATATTTAAGCGGTCCCACATTTACCGAGGTGGCAATTTTTCACAAAATCAAAAAAATTCTGACAATTGTCTCGTCCATCGCTCGTTCACTGGAACGAAGGAAACCCAATAGTGAAATAAAAATGACAATTTTCTTTTTTATTCATTTTTGAGTTAGTTGAACTATTATTATCTCTCCATAAATTAAAGAGCTTAATTAACTAGATACTATGGCTGACGAAGAAGTAAGTAGATACTATTATATTTGCGATTGATTGGAGCATGAGTTGAAAATTTTTTTTCTAATGGACTTCGGTCCCATGACAAGAAATTTGAAGGTGAATTCAATTAATTTGGTAATTTGTTGATCACAGAAGACCGTAGAGTAAACTAGAGGTCGTCTACAATAAGAGGGTAAGTACTAACTAGTAATTAGCACACTTTTGAGACCGCTGACGCTGGTGCTGCTTTAACCTTCCCAATTCAATGTTCCGCTTTAAGAAAGAACGGACATGTTGTTATTAAGAGCAGACCATGTAAGATTGTTGATATGTCCACCTCTAAGACCGGTAAGCACGGTCACGCCAAGGTCCACTTGGTTGCCATTGATATTTTCACTGGTAAGAAGTTAGAAGATTTATCTCCATCTACCCACAATATGGAAGTCCCAAATGTTGGTAGACGTGAATTCCAATTATTAGACATCGATGATGGTTTCTTATCCTTGATGACTAACGATGGTGACACCAAGGATGATGTTAAGGTTCCAGAAGGTGAATTAGGTGACAAGATCCAATCTGAATTCGACGAAGGTAAGGACTTATTAGTCACCATTGTCTCTGCTATGGGAGAAGAAGCCGCTATTTCTTTCAAGGAAGCCCCAAAATAATTTGATTAACCACTTACATAATGATATATATTGTCTTATAGTGCTTAATATTAATTATTATTATCATTGCGCACGGTATGATAAGCTTCTTACGTTTTTTTTTTATCTGCTTATGCCAGATCAACACCCTTAAAATTACCTTTAGAGTGACTGCGATAGCCCCTGGCTCTACGTATGCCGTATAAATCCCTCTATTCCAATATAACCGTAAAATTATTTTTAATAATGATGCCTCGTACATAGGCAGGGTTTGTATAGAAAATTTAGTCAGCGAGCACGAATGTGACTGGGTATGATTCCTTTTTCCTTATGGACTGATCCATTTTCGTTATAGCCTAATCATTTTAGTACATATATCTAGAGCTAATCAGGGATAAAGACGTTTTATTTTAGCTATCAAGTGTTTATCTAATAGTAAGTTAACTTGCGGAAATTAAGATTGCCAGTGTTTTTTTACTTTTGATGCATGGTAAGCCTTTTTCTCCAGAATTTAAAGTTAGTTATCAAAAGAAGTTAAAGTAATACTCCAAAGACGCTACAGTATCAGGTATAAGAGTATTCATTATATCCTTGCATCACAGACAGAGCTGTAACATTCTATGACTGGTAGCAAAATTTTACAAGGTGGCGCCCCCACTTTTACCCTCGATAACGAAGAAGCAGGCTCTTCCATGTTCGGAGGTATCAAACAACTTATAGCTGGGCTATTAGTAGTAGACAAAAATTCAGCTAGTAAGAGCTTGAACGCAAGGTCACTTTCACCTTCTGTTGTTGCTCCTTCGGAGAGTGGAAGTTCGACAAGTGGGGGAGACTCCGTTACCGACGGGGTAACGTTCGTTGGGAATACTACGTCGACAGTATTATTCTTTCTTGCCCTAGCGGTAGGTGTATTGATAGCCATATTGTTTGTGTTTTTCACGTTCCGTTATTTCATCAGGTCGAAGTATGGACTCCACGTCTATCCTATACCCCACAGATCACTTTTTACTTCTTCGAGTGCGCCTCTAGAACATAATAGTTTGACGAACGTTGAGTTACAGGAACAAATAAACTATGTCAGAGATAATAACTTCATCAGAGGCGAAATATTAGCCAGGAGGATCAATCGTGGAAGAAACCGCCGGAGAAGAAGAGGTGGGAGATACTCCAGAATGAAAAAATTGACGGAGCAAGAAGTTGAAATCTTGTTCCCTAAAAAGTCTTATCATGATTGGCTTAACGGTGGTCAAGAGAGAGATCATGAAATCAGAGATGGCGTTTTGCAAGAGGAGTCCATGTTAAAATGTACGACTAAAAGAAATCGGCGGGTACAAGACGATACGTTTGATTTGAATGAACTTCAAGAAGAAGACTTGAACCGAACCGTTTCACAAAGTACTTCTAGTGACATGATTGAAGTCAATCAATCACCTACCACAAAGGTTGAAGGAATCGAAATGCAAAGTATGAAGTTGGAAGAGATTCCGCATACGACCCATGTGTCTTCTCCATCGCAAGAAGAAACTGAAGATGAGTTACACTTCACTTCGGGTACATGTGCCATTTGTCTTGAGGTCTTGGAGAATGAAGATAACGTTAGAGGGTTAATTTGTGGCCACGTATTTCATTCGGATTGTTTGGACCCATGGTTAACTAAGAGAAGAGCTTGCTGCCCTATGTGTAAAAGAGACTATTTCTTCAAAGATGAACATAATAATAGTGTTAGCCAACAGGGTGATGGAATTAGTACTTCTAATAGCAACGCTGACGAGAGTAATGAAAATAGCAACCCTGAAGATGACTACGACGATATTGACTTCGATGCGTTCAGAAATGATCCAGCTTTGACAGCTTTGCTTCAAGAGCTAGTGCCGCTACACGAAAGGGTTAGGTTGATATTAAGTGATGCGTCTTTCGCTCCGTTTAACATTGAACAACGGGCTAATGAACTTGCGTCGAAGAAACGTGGGAATTCTTTCAAGGTGGTGTGGTGGAAAATTATGGGCATCACAAGAGAGAATTTGTTTAACTGGGCTGTCATAACCATTCATCGCCAAGAAAGACTGAGAATTGCTGCCGAAGCCTCAACAACTGCTACGAATGGTGAAAATGCCAATACTGTTTCTGATACCAATGCCAACAGTAATGGCATCCACCCTAACACTGCTGAAAATATCGGTAACAATAATCCTAGTAATTTGGCTATCAATAGTTCCAATGCAGTTGCCGATCCTACTACCAATGATGCGGTCAACGAAAACACACCTGCAACTACTGAATCGGCTACCACTCCTTACATATCAACTTCTAGACAGGGTTCTGCAGCTGATATTTCAAGAGATATTGTTGAACAAAGGGTATAATATGTTTTCATATCACAAGTATCCTTTCTTTAATTCTTCGACTAAGTCCTATGGACCCTTATTTATTACTGTATTTATTAGCACTAACTGCCTGCTTTAATGCAATTTTGTTGTATATGTGATCGGTTTGTTTCTTGTTTTGTACATTAATCTCTAACTTTGATATAGCTACATTTATATCTATACTTCTCTCTCTATTCCTATTAGTTATGCTTCTTAATATTTGATTTAGTATTTGTCCTCTATTGATGTAAGTTAAATCTCGAGATGAAGTAAATTTACATAATCATTCGCGAGCTTGAAAAAAAAATTTGATGGAAAAATTGGGAAGGATAAATTCATTAAGTTACTAATATATAAATAATTTATACTTGAACAACTCAGAGTAATACAATTTATATTCAAAAATGGGTATGTAATATCTAGGAAGAGGATGATTTATTTTAAGACAAAAAGCAAAGGAAACGGAAATATTAACAATTCAATTAGCTCCTAAAAAATCTGTTAAAATGGACTTAGGTTCATTCTTAACCGATAATTCTATTGGTGGATCATGGGCAGACGAGGAAGTTGATATGTCATCTATCGGTGTCCCAATAGCTGGATCACAAGGAACTAGTGGTGCTAGAAAAGAAGGAATTTACCAACCACAAACAGGATTCAGAGACAATGATGATTCCAGACGTGAAAGAAAAGAATTCCCAGTTCCAGACCAACCACCATACAGAGTAAGAGTTGCTAACTTACCATGGGATGTTGAAGAGCAAGACTTAGGTAGATTTTTTGAAGACCGTATGCAAGTACAAGATGTAATCACCGATATCAAGTTACCTGTTGATAACATGACTGGAAAGTTGAAAGGGTTCGGATTTGTAACATTCACTGAAAGAGGTTTATTAGAAGAAGCTTTGAACTTGAACATGGCAGATTTGAACGGCAGAAAGATTTTCGTTAACGTGGCTGCTCCACAAAGAGCTGATGTTTTCGACATGGACTGGAGATCTGCAAGAGGTGGCCCAATGGAAGGTGGAAGACCTCCTAGAGAAGAAGTAGAAATCGATTGGAGTTCTGCCAGATCCTCCGGTGGTTTACCTCCAAGAGAAAACAGAGGTGACAGAGGCGAAAGAAGACCAAGAAGAGAAGAACCAGATATTGATTGGACTTCTGCTAGATCTGCTGGTGGCTTACCACCAAGAGAAAACAGAGGTGACAGAGGTGAAAGACCAGAAAGAAGACCAAGAAGGGAAGAACCAGACTTAGATTGGGGTGCAGTTAGATCTTCAGCCGGTACTTTACCCCCAAGAGAAAAGAGTGGAAGAGGTGAAAGATCCGAAAGAAGACCTAAAAAAGATGAACCAGAGTTTGATTGGGGTGCAGCAAGATCCTCAGCTGGTACTTTACCTCCAAGAGAAAGAAGTGCTAGAACTGAGAGACAAGACAAAAAACAAGAACCAGCCTTAGACTGGAAGAGAGGACAAGGTTTGGAACCTCGTAGTAACAGTAAGCCTACTAGAGCAAATAAAAAGGTTGACGAAGAAAAGAAGGATAATCAGCCAAAACCTCAAAAGTCTTCATTTGATGTTCTCACGGTTGAAAGTGACGATGAAGAAGCTCAACCAGCTAAAAAAGCTGAAGAGCCAAAGGCTGAACAAACAACTACTGGCTTGGAAGATTCAACTTCTAAATTGTCTGTCAACAATAAAGAAGGTGAAGGCTGGGAAGTTGTTGGTAAATAAGAAGTGTAAATTAATTGGGGTGTTTTCCCTGACTCAGTTAACTATTTAATTTCATTTGTTTTATATTGTATGAACCTTTTCCTACATTTTTTCCACTCTCCTTGGAAATATCCATTTATAAATTCTTACTGTATAGATAATCGTCTCATAATTTGTTAAAGTATAGCTGTAATAGATGCTAATTCTATTCCTTTATTTGGTAGCGTGCGATTACGAACAATTATATATGAAATTCTTCAATTCACAAATTGATAATTACTTTCATAGTCGTGAAGAGAGTTAAAAGAGTACTTTATAGATAGGATGGAAGAAGAGGACAAGAATCTCAGTCAGGGGATAGACAGCTATTATTTAATCAATTCAAGCCGTATGTTGTTTCTTTTTTGTTTATTGAACAAGCCAGCATAAGATCAAATACTAACATCTGGTAAGGAAAATACAATCTATCAAATCCATCACCATTAGATAATTTATTGACCTTATATGGTTTAGAACCAGTTGCTAAATCACTCGCAAGGACAAACCCCGATGGGTCGAAGGGAGTTAAATTAAGAAAGTCGTATAAGAATCATATTCAAGATTTACCAGGAAAGCACCAAATTCCACCACTGAAGCCAGTTCCTGGATCTTTGTTGGATCCTTCAATATCACAAGCACCAGATTTGATTAAGTCATTGGATGCAGAGTTGTTAAATCAAGCATTAAAGTTTGAGAAAACTTCAATCAACGGCATACCTGGTTTTAATACCTCAGATTTGGCCATAAATGACCAGCAAACATTAATGAGAGGTGATGATATGTCGGAGAATGATGAATTTGGGAGCTCCAAGAAGAATAAGCGTAAGAAGAAGTTGCAGCCAAATGGTGGTGACATAAAGAGACAACATGTATAATAGACTTACGTATGTAAAATTTAATGAAATAATGATATCCTTATCCTAATAATACTATCTATTAATGTCATATTGTATAAATATAATTGAACTATGAATTAATATGGTCATAACTGTGTATTTATAATTGCTTCATCTGCTATTTGACCATTTGCAGCAGTTTTATTTCTTATTCTGTTCCTTTTAACTGTCATCTTATTTCTTAATAGCCTTCCAATGTGGCTTAATAATGCTTTCTTTATCATCCTCTTGAATTTCATGGTTACTTCTAATAAGGATAATACTTGGTTTCCAATAGTAAATTCGGGTAACTTTATAAATAAATCTTGAACATTTAAGATTCTCTTGTATCCATTGTGACACTTCACTGAAATCAAAAGGCATATTGGGCTAATGTTCAAATTCCCGATGCTCAAATATTTCTTTGATCTTTCAAGCATTTCATCTAAGTCTGCATCTGCTTCATCATTCGAAGATACCGAACTAGACAACTGCAGCTTATTATTTGATAGTCTCGTCATGGACCGATCAAACTTCATTTGATTTCTTTGACGACTTTTGTTCGAGCTAGAATTATCGTCTTCAAAAGTTACAGCTTTTTTCGATCCTTCGAGTTCTTGAGCAAACGATTCTCGGTTCTTCCTGTTGTCATTATCATCATCGAGATCGCTATCATTCTCTTCTTCATTACCATGTGAACTATTTCCAAGCAAATTAAAATTTTCGGTGTCTGATCCAGGGAATATGTATTTCAATACCTTCTCACCAGTTATTTCATCAATTTTGATATTTAACGGTTGTGAATTTATCGAAAAATAATCCAATACTTTAATACCACCAATAGACCTTTTCATGGACCAGTCAACAGTTATCAAATTGTTAGATTCATTGTTTTCGTTACCAGAAAGTCCGGTTAGCGGCTCCATCATTCTTGTATAATAAGCATTATAAAATAAATTAATACCTTGCATATTTTCAATTTCAATTCTATTATCATTTGAGCCATTTTCACTGATCCTTCTTCTATACTTTCCGTGATCCATTAAAAGTTTTAAAAACGGGGTCCGATCATCCTCGAGCATAAATAACTGGATACTGTCGGCATTTATATTCCATTCAGCCAATGTTTTAGAATTAGAATCATCATTAAATAATTCTCCAGTTAACAATGAATTCATCAACAAATATATCTCAGTGATAGCATTTCCTCGTTCAACGTTAAGCAGTAAATGATCATTCAAACCTTCATTATCTAACATATCTTGCCTGAACCCATAATTATTAGACAAAATATTAATTAGTCTATAGTATTTGTGTAGGTTAGTTAACCTTTCATTCAACGCAATCAAATCCAAGAAATCTATGGAGAACTTCAATTTCTCTAGTTTCTCACCTAAGGATTTACTCTTAGGCTCGACATAAAAGAGTAGATTTAAAACGATAACGTACAAAGTGTGATATTGTTTTGCTGTCGATAGGATCTTGAATTCCGGTATATCTACATTGACCTTTCGGGATATAGATTCAACCTCCATTTCACCTAACTCAGAGGTACGCTCATTATTATCATTGATCAATTGAATTCCCAATGGATTGATCTGTTCATAGGTAATCAACATTGATGTTTTCTCAACTATTAATTTATCCTCTCCTGCTAGTCTTCCATTTTTACAAATTTCAATACCTAACCAAGGAGGCCAGCTTGTTGTCGATCCGTACGTCCTTTTATTCAAAATTAATTTATTCACATTCAGAACGTCTTCTTTATTTAAAACGAAGATATTTGCATCCCTTAATATTACACCATACCTGTTTTCTAATTCACGTTCGTTAACGACTAATTGATTGTTCGATTTCGTAAGTACGGATACAATTTTCGCATCAATGCTTGGAACTGCCATCAAAACGATTCTATCTGGTGTCTCATCACTTTGTAATTGAATTTGAGGATAGAGAATTTCAATTAGGAAATCCTCCGATATACGTTCATTTTCGTCGGCTTTACATATTATACTATCAAAGTTGTTCAACCTTTGTTGTGACGATTCAGAGTTTCTAGAAATTTCGTTTGCTAGTTTTTCCAGTTTTATCTTACTTAATGTTTCCGAAATCATAGAAAGTTCATCGCCACCGGTTTCGGCGATGTTATTATCAATAATATTATGAATTGCCCTAATAGATTCGTAAGATAGATACTTTCTTAACTGAACCTTTAATTGAACAAAATGAACATATTTGTATAATAAATTTCTATTTTGAACATTCCATTTTAAAAACATGCAGACCAAAACGAATTTGTTATGGAACATAGAATTAAAATTCGGCTTCATTGATCTATCACGTTGTTCCTTTCTTTGTAAGCGTCTCGTGTCCTGTTCCTGAATATCATTCTTCAATAATTCAATTCTTTTATACAATTGTTCGTTTGATAGCTGCTTGGTTTTATTAACCTTTATTCTTTCCTCTAATTGACTTATTCGATCTTTCAAAAGCTCTATTTGAAGGGAATAAATATTCTTTGATCCTAGGAGACAGCCATGTGCATTATCCTCCTCTTGCGTATCGATCACCTCGTCTGATTCATTGGTTGTATCTCTTAAATAAGAAAATCTTTTAGAGTACATTAATGCATGTATTTTGATTGATCTACGTGATTTCCTTAAAGTAGGAATAAAAGCCTCTTCGTAGTCTTCAATATCAAACCATTGTGCATCATTATCAAAGACAGAAAATTTAGATTTACTATCCTCACTTTGTATCCTACGCGCATATATGTCTTGATCAAAAATGGCATTGACTGTCCTCAAATCTATTCCCGTTAGATGCACTTCACCTAATCGGAAATTCATTTTCATTATCTTTTTATTCTTGGATAACCCTTCATGTATCATGACACGGGGCTCTTTAACTTGATGCAAGTCGACCAGGAATTCGTCCATTTTTCCTCGAACTCCAACACATTCAATCTTATCATCGTTTGCATCAACATTTTCATCTCGATAAATATGTGAGATGAATAAAGATTTAAAATTAAATTGGAATTTATTAGTAAATAAATGTTGAGAAAACTTCATTGATTTTTTGGAATCACCAAATAAGTCACCTCGTCTTATAGGTAACATCATGTTTCCTGCAAATAATGTCCACCAATTAAAAAACTGCTTAAAAGTATTAGGACTCAAATGAATACAGTTGTAACTATTTTCCGTATTAGCGTGAAAAGAAATTGACATGTTAATCCGATCACTTCTAAATCCAGCATACGAGTCGTGGCCCTCTTTGGTATATTCTGGATTGAAGAGTTTAACGTCATAATGGTGTTTAGATTCACGAGAGGTGAGTTCAGAACCAGTATGTCTTTGCAATAAAAACCCAATGATAAAATTAACACCACCTTTCAAGCTTACTACTTTCTTTTCGTGAATATGAGATTTTGATGTTTGAGTATCTAAATCGGTATGTGGCGTTTCCTCCAAAAAGTACGCAAAACATGATGAAATAAAGTTTTTCGAGTTTGGTAAGAAAATGTACTTTGAACTATCCCTTGACCACGAAACTAACGGTGTTGCTAAATAATTAGGAATATACCACAATACTTTATCTGATTTAACTTTCATAAACAGTTGAGAATCATCATTTTCATTAACCGTCCATAACACGTTATCATTGAATGCTAATACAAATCCCGATGACACGTTGAACAAATCATAAGGATCCCTGGAGCCTTTGAATGCTACTTCCAAGCTATTATGTGACCCGGTTTCAATTTTAAATTTTCCATGCATAATGTATCTTATCTTGTCCCAAAATCCAAGCTTCAACGATGGATCAACTGGAGGTTTTGAAAATTGATCAAAGTTTAACAGAACCTGTTGTATTCCAAATTGATATGATTGACCCCATACAAATCTGCTTGCTTCTTGTGACGTAAATTTCACACTAAGGTCCGTAAATAGCTTTACCGATGATAAAGACTTGTTTATTGTTAAGGCATAATGCTTATCACCTACAACGTTTTTAACATCTGGTACTAGAGGAATATGTAAATTTCTCAAATGTTCTGCTTCATTTACCAAAGCCTCTGATAGGATTAAATGACCTGCCATAGATAAACTGGATGTATTATCCATGTTGTATGGGACGCGTAATAACGGAAGGGGGTAATCATGTAAATGCATACGAAGTTCCAAAAGCTGGAGGCTAATAAACATTGGAATCATTAATGAATAACGGGTATCGACAGGAACACCCTGCCCCATATCATGAATAAATTGCGGTAATTGATCCAAATTAAATTTTGTTGTCGATATATTTAAATCAAAGCCAGACACGATCACGGATAATAAGGGAGCTTGGTTCATGTATGCAATTATTCCTTCATTTTTATCGACAGGTAATAAGGCTTCATTTCCAAACAAAAATTTTTTATTTTGAGTAATCTCATCACTCAATCTAGCCTTATAAACCTTTACTTTTCTTATCCAAGATGCTGAAATTGATTTTCTTAATTGGTATAATTTCTCTTCCCTTTCAATAGAGGTAAAGTCATCTTTCGTTTGGTTTGCTTCAGAAGTTCTTCCTTCAAATAAAGACACCTGTTCCAATCGTTTCCGTTGTTCCACAATTCCTAATTGATGTATCATATTTAACTCGCATTCAAACGGATCATCTTCCATATTAAAAGATAATTTCTTCGATTTAATACGAATGTGAGGGAAATTTATGGCCTTACCCTCTTTTGGTTCAATGTTTCTTCGCTTAAGGTGATCATTCTTTAAGCAGCTAATCAAGTGCTTTAAAATCTTAATTGTGATCGATATATTATCAAACAATCTGTATATCACAAACCCATGTGGTTGAATAAGCCTTATAGAATCAGATGCAATAGCAATTTTTGACTCATTTGAAGGATCATTCACAGACATCTTAAGATCATCAACACACGCAATTCTGCACCAATTATTTGCTATAAATGGCGAATCTGCAAGTATTCTAAAGAACTTATTATTCAAACTAATAACTCCTTTATTAAGATTTGCAACTGTGTCAAATAATTGTAATTTGATTTTATAATTATCATCCAAGTGTACTATTAAGTTCGATTGTTTGATTTTGCAGTTAAGAATCGCAAAATCACTAATCTTTCTTGTTTGTGATTCAATCTGAGTAGATGACTTACTGGCAACTTTCTGCATGTCATTCCTAAGCTTATTCTTGATCAATTTTATGGGAGCTAATATGGCTTCTCTTACTAAGTAGATCGCCCCAATGAGAATAGAAAGTTTGTACCTGTCATAATCGCCTATCACATCGTCTACGCATATGTCCACTTTTAAATCATTTATACCGTTAGAATTAACTGCACTGACAAAGATATCTGTCATGGGCAAATTCAAAAATTCCTCGTATTCATCATTTGATTTATTCAAAAGAAGTTGAAGTGCACATTGAATTTTGCTCATTTGCATATCAATGTCCCAAAATACGGTTACATTTTCATTTGCGGCTAAAGTATCTGTAGATTCTGAATTGGTGTGATTATACTTTGGATCATAAGCCTTATTTCTTATGTTCAAATTCAAGTTGTCAATAGTGAACATTACATTTCTTAATTTGTGATTTTCAGGGAAATAATCTGAATTATAACCTTCTCCATTAATTTCATCTAAGTAATCTTTAGCAATCAATACTGAACGAGATCCCAAAATGAAACTTAGTTTGGAAATAATTATTTCCAGGCCCAAAAACCAATTTGGTAAATATCTGAATAATTTATATTCTAATGGTGTCGATTCTGCAGTAGATCCTTGTGTACTCTCGGGAAATATTAGTCTTTGTTTGATAATTGCAGCATTTAAATTTAAATTAACTAATCCAGAATTCAAATGTTCTTGTGCCATACATGTGATATCTTGCAATAAATCATTAATGCCAGCAATTATATTCAATTGAGATAAATCTACCCTAGGCTCATTTATCACTATTGTAGATTTTACTTCAAGATTTTTCAAGATATCAAGCTTGAAATTTATTGACCTGAGACTTAATACTTGTTTTTTGATTACTTTATTCTTCTCATCTTGTAACATTACGCTAGATTTTTGTACATAATTAACACAAGGATGTATTATGTGGCAATTTACGTTGTAGTCTCGTGTTGGGGTAGTGAATGTATGAAAGTTTAGTAATGAATATGAAAAGTCTAATATTTGAGTTTTATTTGTAGTCTTATTGTGGTGTCTTATTATAAATCTGGGTTGTTCGATGACAAACTTTGTATCAACTCTTGGAAAATATTCGTCGAGAAGTTTAAGCAACTTATGTTTGTATTTTGTTCGAGATAATTTTTCAAGGTTGTCAGCATCATTACTATCAGATTCTACTTGAGTTGTGTCTATATCATCACTGTCAATATCAGTATCATTATTAGCATTAATGTGTTCCTTAATTATTTCACGATTCAATTTTTTATTTCTCTTCTTCAAATGCTTTAAAGTAAAATACTTCTTTATTAATACGCAATTGTATATGAACGTTGCCAATTGGATGGTATTTAGATCGATCATGGGGCTACAAGCTGAAGCAGCAAATTCAGTGACACAATCTTTAAACCCTTTATCTCGAACTATACAATCTAAAATGTTAGATTTGTAGGTGTAATTAAAGTTCGGAATATTTAATACTTCATCCTTATGACAAGTTGCTTGATTGTTTTCCTTGGTATGTTTGCAATAGTTAACTCTTAAAGACTGAATAGAAGTATTAACTTGAAATGGGTCGTCTACTTCAGAGTCAAATAAAACATGAAATCCTGCGGCCGTTTTATTTAATTTCAGATAATTAAACGAAATGCTCTTTGAAAACAAATCCAAGGAGCGCTTACGAGAAGAATAATCAAAATAATCGCTGAAGGACATTTCCTTATCCGTGATAGCGAATGGAATCTCCAATAATTCTGAATTGTCTAAACTGAACGATATTTCCTTGATTACCGGATATAGTTTATTTCGAATCTTGATATATCTATCAAACTTGATTGGATGCTTCGATGAGCCAGCATCTTCCTGCTCCTGTGATTCCTCTTCAGTATAATTGGTTTGGGACTCGACGTTAGACTTAGGGGCAAATTCGATTCCCGGCTCGTTGCTCTTATCGCTGAATTCCATGTCTCTCTTAATTCTATCGATGAAGAGCTTGGCTGTTCTGAATATAACACACTTGAATTCATCGGTGAAGAGTCTCACCTGGATATTATGAACATTTCCCTTTTCCATGTTAATCTGCAAATTCAATTGCAACTTTAATGTCAGCAACGACATGGGGGGCACCAGCTTCAAACTGTCGGATTCGCTCGAGTTCACCACCTCATTCACCACCAATGTAGTGTAAAACTTCAAGTTGTTGGCTGACTTCTTGCTGTATCTCGAATTCAACATAAACCGCAAGTACTCAATTGTGGTGGACGTCGAGTCTGGGTGTAATAACGTTATATGCTTCAATCCAATGTCTATGCTTGGTAAATGACCAAGGACGAACCGCACGACAGCCCTGGCGGCCCAATTCGACGGAAATATCGTCAAATCAATTGTCCCATCGCCCAAATCGTCCCCTTTCTCGGGGGTTTTGGGCCTTATCGTGGGTCTGTCCCGACTATGCAATTTTATCACCAAATCATCCATCACAATCTTTCTCGTATTCCCCCACAACCGAATTCTGAATGTCCTGAGCGTCACACTCACCCTCTTGTTGCTGTAACTGATCCCATTGAACAGTACACCGTTATTTATTCCTATGGTTTTCAAATGAAACCCACTCACAAAATATATTAGATACCATCCAATCACCCAAGCGCCCAATACCAACCCGCCATAATACAATATATCGTTCATCTCGAAGCCAATCATAGCGCTTTTTGTTAGCTGTATACCTTCGAAGGTCATATGTCAATCAATATATCTAATATCAAAACAAATGGTTCTTTCTGTGTGTATATATATCCCAATATCGCTTTAATATATCAAGCCAGCTCTTGTTTGTTTGGCAGCAATTTCTACCGTAAACGTAAAGCATCACAACCTGCAAACATTCCGTAAAAATATGCCAGTGTAACCTGTAAACGAATATAATGTGCTGGACATCGATGAGCATGCCCCACCGTAGCCATAAACCCTTTTTGGGAATTATTGCCGCCCAGCCTGTCTGGAAAAAGCCAGATTAAAATTATGCTTCTAACTCTAATCCGCGTGCGCCCATTTAGGGTTTAGACCTCGTGGCGTTTTGTGTTCCCAAATCTCCCCACCGGATGGTAATGTTCCTGTATGCGGTTATAATCTCATTTTCAAATTTATGTCGTGGCGATACCATATTTGTTGACGTTCTGGTATCGTCTCTGGTAGACTGAGAAATTTTATATGAAAATTTTTTATTAGGGAAGACAATTTACACTTAATATAGCTTATCACACATTAACAAAAGTATGTTGAAACACGAAAACTTATGAATGAATACCGATTTATTAGACAGAACTATTTGGCTGGATCAGAATGAAAGAATGTAGACGTGAAGGATTGGAAATTGAGATGAAAAATAGTGAAAAATTGATGGATGGTCGATGAACAGGACCACAAGTGAAAAATTGCCAATATGGAATAGAAAATATGAAATATGAATCTGAAAAAGTAATAAGAGTAAGGATGGATATGGATGATCAGATACCAGACGATAGTTTTGATAATAGGGGAGTTCATGGCGTAGAACCTGAGAACCAAGTACTAACATATATTCTAGTGGCTGCTTCACTTCCACACCCAAAGATTGTTAAAAAGCACACCAAGAAGTTCAAGAGACATCACTCTGACAGATACGACCGTGTCGCTGAAAACTGGAGAAAGCAAAAGGGTATTGACTCTTGTGTCAGAAGAAGATTCAGAGGTACCATCTCACAACCAAACATTGGTTACGGTTCCAACAAAAAGACTAGACACATGATGCCATCTGGCCACAAGGCTTTCTTAGTTAAGAACCTCAAGGACTTGGATGTTTTATTATTACACTCCAAGACTTACGCTGCTGAAATTTCCCACAACGTTTCTGCCAGAAACAGAGTTGAAATTGTTGCTAAGGCTAAGAAGCTTGGTGTTAAAGTTACTAATCCAAAGGGTAGAGTTTCTTTAGAAGCTTAAGTTTACCTTGAATATTAATTTTATATCAATTTTTAGTCTGGGTTTTTTTAAGTCATGAAATAGTTTTCTGTTTAATATAAAAAAATGTACATTTACGTTATTATATGTCATATTGAGCCTGTAGCCATATAGTTATTTTGCTTCTAGTATCTGTTAACCATAATAGATCTTCCATAACTAATTTATTTATTATTTACTTTATATATAAACACTCATATAAACCAAATGAAAAAACTGAAAAAAATTATTCTTTATGGTCCATTTTTATCGCTTTCTAGACAATGATCCTGAAACTGTAACATTACTAAGTCCCACATGGTGGTGCTTTTTAATCTTATAACCGAGTTCACATACGCCATTGGAATCGATATGTAACTGAGAACTGCATTTTAAGGGTCTTACATGAAGCTCGGGTAGCGATTTCTTCTTAGTTACACCATTTTCATGCTTCTCATTGTCATTGGGAACAGGGTGGTCTCCGGAACTCTTCCGAGTTGCCGACAGAATCGACGACGTAGTAGACATGTTCTCTTGCGGCTTATTCATGTTATCAAATGTTTCGATTTCATCCTCTTTTAATGCTGGCAAATTAGCACTCGATGGTTGCTGCGAATCTTTGAAAGTCGGATCGTCATTTGATACATCTAACATTGATCTAGGTTTTGAATTTGAATACTCCGATGATGTATCGTTGTCCATGCCTTCAAATGCCTCATGGTTGTCCATGCGATCGTATGAATTTGTTCTATCGCCTCTGTGAAGTTTCAAAGGAGTTTGCGTGATTGAAGATGAGGAATGAATTGAACTATCATCTTTGTCACGATAGTCGTATTCGTGATTGAACTTTGAGTTTTGGTTTACATTTGGACTGGTTTCATTGCTTTGGCCACCCAAATCTAACATACTTCTAAAAGATGCATGAAATTCATCACTGTCGTAGTTGGAACCAATTGTCGCTTTACGGGAAGGTGCGCGTGAAGTTTGACCTGATGATGGATTTGAAGAACCTGGTGGAGTAATAACTGGATTTACATCTTGGTCTGGGTGTTCATAAATACACATTTCCAATTCGGTAAACCATGGGTCCGCAAATAATAAGTCCAATGTGTACCTGTTCTTGACTGAAGGATCACATAGCTTCCAAGCAACCCTAGCTGCGCCAGTGGAGTGAAACTGCTGAGCCCATTTGAACTCACTTCCAGGTCCTTTAGTAACTTCTAGGTTATGCTTAAAGTTAGGATGGTCGCCCGCGTAACGGCTGTGATTAAAACTGTATTCTCTATAAGCGTGATCATTGGGAGATGCCGTCGAAAACGGAACGCCACGATAAACAATGCAGAAAAGTAACATCCCAAGGGCCCAACAATCCATCTTATATGGATCATATGCCCACTTCTTCTTATCGCTACTACTCATCTCCCTTAATTTCATAACTTCTGGAGGAGAGTAAGGCGGAGAACCAACATAAGCAGTCGATAGTTTAACTGGCGATGACAAATCACCTTCGATCTCATTACCATAGGCACTAACACCAAAGTCACATAATTTGGCAATACCCCTATCATCAATTAAAACATTCTCTGGCTTTAAATCCTTGTGGGCTATACCCATTTCATGTAAAAATTTAACTCCGTATGCTATTTGTTTGAAAATACAGTATTTTTCGTTCAACGATGAACTCTTCCACCCCAGTTTCACTATGGCGTTAAATAGATCGCCAGCACCGCACAACTCCAATATTATACCCCAACCTCTGCTTAAATTTGCTTGGGATTGAATTCTCACCATCATTATAGTATCGACCACATGTCTGCTATGGCTAGCCTTTTTAGAAATAATATATTCCTTTATTGCCCGCTTATAAAAGTCATCATCGCTCTCCTTGTCGAGCAACGTGAACTTCTTTAATGCATAAACGTTCTTCCTGTTACAGGCTGAATTGATAATACGGACGTCCGACGATCCTCCGTCTCCCAACTTTTTATTTTGCATATCGATCTCGAAATCCTCCAAAAGATTGACGTGCTCCTGCTGTAACTCGCCCGGCAAAAAGTCATTGGGATCAGCCACCGGGTTGTTCAACACTCTGTTAGCATCTGGCCCACCCGATAAGTAAAAACTGGTACTGGGGTGTTCAGCCGATGGACTTTTGTTAAGTCCGAACGGATTGTACTTGATCTTCTCGTGTTGCAGATTATTATTGACATTCGGAGTGATAGTCAATCCACCTCCTCGGACTCCTCCTCCTGGCGTCCCAGACCTTAATTCATTTGTTTGTCGTACACTTCTGGCCGCATTATTCTTATTCATCTGCTGGAGATGCGCCATCGTCTCGGCCTTCGACAATTTCTTGGGGGTCTTTTCGTTTTCTATGTTGCTATGTGATCTCGCCATGTTCGAACTATGTCTCCTCATCGAAAGAACTGATGGTGTTCTCGAAATCCTCCCTCCGCTGGACCCGCTAGGCATATCTGCCTTTGACTCCCCACCATGGTGAAAAAGCTTCGACAACCCAATATGCGACCCGTGGACAGATTCTTTTCCAGAATCTGTCGGAGACTCAGGACTATGTTCCTTTTTGAATATATGTTTCAATCCGTGATGATGGTGGTGTTTTACCTTTTCTGCTGGCATTCTGTCTGTCACTTTAATGTCAACCGCTACTATCGTACTCTTTATGTTTGTTTGCTATATTTTTCGAAATACCTGTTAATAAACCTCACTTTTTCAAACAACGATTCGTATAATCGAATATTTCATCAAACAGATAGTAATCATATACAGATTCATTCGAAATCGAAAAAGAATTCACTAAAAATATATTATAGTTAATCATAGGACCAGGGGAACACCAAGAATTAGAGTGCGTGTGGGTAACATCGATTTTTATATATAGGAGGCCGTAATAGCAATTCGGGCCTTTCAGCCTTTCAAAGCGTATGAACATGGGGGCCTGGTAGCGTTAAAACGACAGAATGCTACAGGGAGAAACAGATAGGATTAGGGACTTTATTAATAATACAAAATAAAAACAAGAGCGATTTTAAATAGATTAAAGGAACAAAAGCGATAATAGTATTAAAGTAAAATTCATCGTCAGTTATATAGAAAAAGTAAACTGAAATGGTATCGGAGGAAGAAAGTATTAACTAGTAGAATCGGAATAGATTAGATGCTTTCATCGTCAGAGATCTTTTGGTTGTTTCTCTTAATCTTGAAAAATCTGATGCCACCATTATCAGCTTCTCTGGTTTCTGGGTCGACGGCACCAGCGTTGGCTCTGGTGAAGGAGGAGTCGTCACGTTGGTTGTCAGCAGGGCCGACGGCAGCGGCACCTTGGTTTTCTCTAACTCTGGACATGTGTTTCTTGTAGGAGTTGGAGATGTTGGCAAAACAAGTGTTGATGAAAACAATCAAAATACAAACAAATGCGGTCCAGGTGATGGCCATCAACTTGAGACCAACGGTTGGGCTCATGTCTTCCTGGTTGAAAGCGTTTCTGGCCAAAACAACAACGGCAGTCTGGAAAGCAGCAAGAGCGGCAATGAAGAATAACGCAAACGAGACGAACGCAATAACAACTTTGTCGATGACCAGGAAACAGAATGCAAGCAAATCAATAATAAGAGCAATGCCGGTGAATCCAATGGCCACAAAAGTAAATGCAAATGAAAATCTGGATAAATAGTAGAAGGTACCTCTGTTGTCAACAAAGTCCTTTGGCACATTACTGGTGGTGTGAAAGTTGTCCTTTGGTGAAATAGGGTATGCTGGTCCCAGGGTACACTTGCTGTAGTCCTTTTCTTCACAGACACCCCAGAATGTCCATGCAGCCATGTCTGGTGCTCCCGAAATCAGCGAGGTGTCAGCCTTAATCCAGTACAAGTCATTCAATGGGAAGTTATCTGAGGCCCCCGATAAAATGATAAGCAATAATAACAAGCAAGTTCCCGCTAAAAGGAAAATATTCAAAATAGTACTGATAAGTCTCATGGTATACTAGTAGTTGCTATTGATTCAATTGACTATTCAGGAAGAAATATATTAAATTTGTATAATTTATAAAAAGAGGAAAAATTCTTATATAAAAAATTGCTTATGGGGCTAAACCTTCGCTGAAAATAACTTTTTGTATTTAACTGATTAAGTCATTTAATTCTTTGCAAAACAATCAAGAATACCTAAAACAACGGCCTTACGCAATACAAATGAATTACCCATTTAGTGAATTTGGTAACTACAAATAGAGCTGAATCCGGTCCAAGAAGGTGGTTTGTTTATGTTTTTCCTATTCCAAAAAGCTATCCTTGCTATTTATTTCATATTGGGACGGAAGTTTCTTCTACGCCTGCAATAAGATAATGGTGCGGCACATGGAAACCGCACAATCCTATTGTATCTTTGGTCTATATGCTAGATACATGATGGGCTGCGCTATTGTGTCCCCATTTGGCACAACGACCGTACCATGTTCTACGCAAGCATCGGTGAGGATTTTGCGAAGGATGACTTGGAAGATGGCTCGAGAATGACGACGACACTGATTGGAAGGAAGATGTGCAGGAAGACTCTGTACAGAGAGTACTAAGTGAGCGAGATGCGTTAGGCGATTGTTCATGGGGCATATTCGAAGAATGTACTGTTGAAGGTGGTTTTGGGTGCAACGGATTTGGCAACGACGGCTCATCGTTCTTGTTGTCGTCGGACGAGGTGAATCGCCAGTTGAAGCAGTCTCGACACGGAGGTTGCTGGACACAGGGAGGCGTGTCGTTGTATGCGAGGATAATGTCGTCGATGACGGTGTGAATACGGTGGTTGAGAAGGTTGACCCGCCATCCCATGTCAGTCACGACATCGTACACGCATTGGTGAGCCGTGTGACAGGCAGTTTCCATCGCATACCCGGCGACATTGCACGAACTGGAGACACCATTGCAAACACCCATGTATATAGGATCGGCCGTGTTCCCAAAATGCCAGATGTTTTCCAAGTGCTTGGGGAGCCCTGGGGGTTGTGGAAGATGGAGTCGACGGGTGGCTAGCATTTCGCCGGGAGCCTCGAACGCCACGGCTGGAAGCCCGTATGTTCTGCCCACAAGCGACGCTAATGCACCTCCAAGCGAATGCCCTGTAACCCAGATGTTGGTGGTCAGAGGGTCGTAGAGCTGCGATACATTGCGGTACAAGTCGAGCGTCGCCTGGTAGTAACGGTCCTGGCGCATGAGCTCCTTCTCGAGACAGTCCTGGTCGCAAGTGTATGCCTTCTGGTAGCAGTCACACACGGTGGTCCACATATAGCCCACGCGAGCACAGCAGCACAGAAAAAGTAGATTATCGTTCAACTTGTCGTTGGCAGTGGTTTCTTCGGGTCCCGAGCCGATAAGCCCTGCTCCCGACGTACCCTTGATTCCTATCACCACTGTCTTGTTGTCAGTGCTCACAAATACGTGCCCACGGAGCCCATCGTCAGCCCATCCAAAGTTGATGTCGGTATGGTTTTCGTCTGGCACCCACGGATCGCCCACATCGATCCAATCCAGTCTCTTCTTTTCTTTGTCATCCTTGGGGAACTTCACGTATGCATTCGACGAAATCGTCGCCAACGATATCACCGTATCCCTGTCCTTGACGTCAGGAATCGGTATTTCGTGCTCATCCTCCCATTCGAGCTCAATCTTGTTGAGAAGCGCCGGATTGCCCTTCACAGATAATGCATATGCCAAATACGAGTCCAAGAAATCGGGTGTATGACGCTCCTTCAACCTCTTCACTACTCCGTTGGTGGGTGACTGTTTGATCGGAAGCTTGATCGTCCACGGATTCTTGCCCTTGTGCGCCTGGGGCCAGTCATATGCGTCGTAAATGTCTTGTAAATTACTCTCGTCTACCTCTGATTTCAGCATACTCGTCAACTCCGCCAATTCCTCGCTATACGCCTCTAGATACTCCTGAGTTATATCCAACCTGCGATGAACCCGATAATTATGTGATCCCGTTCCCCGGTGAAATATATGCTTTAATTCAAACGTTGTTCCATCTGTTTGCATGTCTACCGTTTCAACATTATCTAAAGCACCTAAACTATCCTTCTCGCCTTCATACCACCCTCCTGCTAATATATTCTTGGGCACGAACCTTATGAACCCGAATGCTATCAACGTCAATACAACAGCGCATATCGCTATGAAGCGTCCATTCTTTGCCCTAGGTCTCTTCGGGCTTATCAAAGGATGTTCTTCCCCTAATTGTTTCATAATTTCATCAAGTATAACGTTTCTAATTTTATATAAGTACTATCTACTTTGATTTGGTTTTCGTTATCAATAATCAATGTGGCGATTACAAAATTTCTAGATAGTGCGTGATACAGTATCACTACGTTTATCATGTTTAACTAATCTATAAGTATGTAGCTTCATCAGCAAGATCGTTACCATTATCCAGTAATAGCACATGCCTCAGGGACACAATACGGATGTCCTTGACTAATTTTATATCGTTTGATCCTGTAATTTGTTTCTCGCAGTCGTAACTATGGTTCAAGATCTTGGTGAGCTTCACCACTACATCACTCAATACTCTGGGCGTGAGTACGGTGTCGTTCGAGTACAATGCGTTGGCTAGCAAGGCAGCGAATAAGTCGCCACACCCGTTGAAGTTGCAGTCTATTTTGTCGATGGGAATGTAGAATATCTTGTTTTTGGGCTTCTCGGCCGTGAACCCCACAGAATACATGCGATTGTCTAGTATGACCGACGATAGTACCACGTACGGCACGTCGTAGTGCTGGTGGAACCGCTCGAATGCAGTAGCAAGCGATTCCCAGCTCGATATCGGTGTATCGCTCAATAACTCAAACTCAAACTGGTTGGGCGTCACCACGGTCACATTTCCGCTGGAAAGAATGGCTCTATACACGGGAACCACTTTTTCCAGAACATAGAGCTTGCCGTTGTCGCCTAGGACTGGATCTAGCACCCATATTGGCCTTGTGGTGGCTTTCTGGAATATAGCACCAACCTTCTGGTGGATCACATTTAGCACCGCTTCATTGGGAGCATACCCGGTCAAAATCATGTCGTAATCCCTATCTACATCTATTATATCACTTATACCCTCAAATAGACTCTCTACAAGCTCCGGAGAGCTTGCCTTGCCCTGGAACGTTCCGTAGCCGGGGTGATTTGAAAAATTGGTCGTATCTATAGCGTCCACATCCCAACCGCTGTATTGTAGCGGGAAAACCGCCGATCTATTGCCCACATATCCATGAACCACATGCGACAGAATCGATAGAACCGTTTTCACACTCATCTACTCCTATCTGCTGTTGTTGTGGCTGGTTGAAGTCGATTCTTTACTTAATTATGACTTTTCATATTAGACATTTTATGTGCACGACATAATAAAAATAGATCGAGCCGCCACGTATAATAAACATACCAGGTTTAGAAGGAAACAATTACACCAGATCATAGTAGATAGAGGTATTAGATATGTCCACTAAAGAATCAGCCCTTATAGATGTTGGATATCCCATATATGGGGCGAAATTCGTTAATAATAAGACTATAATTGTTACCGGAGGTGGTGGAGAAGGTAACAACGGTATTCCTAACAAGATCACCGCCATTAAATGCAGCTTCAAGGTATCGGACAAGAGTAAAAGGTTACAGAAGTTCCGGGAAATTGTATTGCCTAAAAACGAGGATTCTCCAATGTGTTTGGATATTGCTAAGGATTCGGTAGACAACGAGCATAACTTTTCGGTTTTTGTTGGGTGTAATCAATCGACCCAGTTGTTGAAGTCGATGAATATCAATAACAATTTGCGGAAATATGTGTTTACCGGCGAGGAGCACTTGCGGTTTGTAGATGCAGCTCAATTGGAGGAGAATATCAGCGGCGAGGGAGTGGGAGAATATCCTAAGATTGTATGTTTGTCATCGCATAACTCAGTGGGATGCTTGATGACATCCCGCAACCCATCTGTCATCTACATTTTCAACCCGGATTTGTTAGAACTCAACTTCAAGTTTAGACCCGAAAGAGATGTCGACATCTTGGACTTCCACCTAAGTCCAGGCGACGATGGCAAAACCTTATGCTACATCACGGTTTCATCCATAGAAACCATATCGACAGTAACAGGCAATTCAATTACATCCACCACTGCGGTAACTAACAAGGCATTGGCTAAATACAACCTTTCGAAGGTCCGATTCATCGATGATTCCAACATCATTGTCGCAGCGAGCTTGAAAAATGGCAAGGGTGTGTCGATCTTCCAGTATTCCATTCCTGATAAGAAAATTCTTAAACAGAGGGATATTTCTACCAAAATTAAGGGCATAACTGCAATAGATATCTCTCTCTCGCAGGGCCTTGTGGCGTTAGCTGGAAATGATACGTCTGTTACCGTTCTTAGATTGGCAGATTTCAAGACCATCAAAACATTTACCAAATTGCATAGTTTTGCAATTACAAAAGTTGCCTTTTCTCCGCGGGGAACTAAACTTGCATCGGTGAGTGCAGCCAATACTCTTCATGTTATGAAAATCCCCTCTAATTATTCAAATGGTAAATCTATTATTGGAACATTAGTTCATTACATTTTTATGGCCGTACTTGCTTGTTTAGTGGCTGTCTTCTTGCAAAAGTTTTACGAAAATGGCCAATTGAAACAGTTTTATGAGTTATCCAGTCATTATGGACAAGTAGGCATTAAGCTTGCCAATGAGTATGGAGTTATCGGTTATCAGTTCGTTAAAGAGAAAATACGAGGCGAAAATGTTGATGGTGATGATACAACAAAGCAATATTTCAAAATGGATGAATGGAATGAGAATGAAACTCCTCAGTCATCTGAAGTGTCTGCCACCAGTTTCGTGGAATCGTATTCTACAGAAACCACTGAAATTGCATCAACAATGATGCCATCTGACCCATCTTCCTCCTCTGATGACAATATAGATATTAGAGCCGTTACTAAGGATATCGATGATATAACAAAGGATAACAATGTTAACACTGAGTCTTTTTTTAACGATACGAATAATTATATTGAAGAATCAACAATTATAAATGCTCCAAATGTTTCGACAAACAATCTTGTCGAGTCTATGGTTGTTGAGATAACTGAAATAAATGCTGCTGAAACAGACGTTATTCCTGAAGATGAAAAAACTGAAACGGTTTCTGATGCTACCACGGAGTCAACCTCTAATTCGACTGAGATTTCCTATGAAACTGAAGAAATTTCTGAAGAAATGCAAAGCGATGTTGATGAATATGTCGATGCAATGGAAGACGTTGAAGTGGAGTCTGGTGATGTTATTGAAGGTGAAGTAAATGAAACGCAATCAGCCGCTGGATGTGAGACTGATGCAGACATTGTATCTGATGCAGAAGATGTTCATGAAAATGGAGCTGATATGGTTGGGTTCGATAATGAAGGAGAAGTCGATGGTGATGGAGTATCTGTAGAAGAAGAAGAAGAAGAAGAAGAAGAAGAAGAAATTGGAGAGACGGAAACTGATAACCTGGATATTAAGGATGACGATATATATCCAGTAGACTCGAATGATATTGCTGTTGATGATGATGAAGATTTACATTATGAACAAGAGAATGAAGATATCAATGGTGATCATGATGATGACCATTTATATGTTACTGATGAAAATGATGAAATCGAGAAGGATGCTGCTGAATCTGAATTTGCTGATTCTGTTGACTCTGCTGAAGCTCATGAACCGGAGCAAATAGCTAGAGATACTGAATCCAATGAATTCAAGGGGGATGAACCTGTTGGCGAAACAATTATTGAAGATAATGAATCTGCGTACGAAGATGATATCGAACGCTTGACCCCTGATCAGGTTGATGTTGCTTCAAACGAGGATTTTCTGACTGATAGCGATATAGAAGACACAGTTGACAAAACTGACGATTCTCGCCCAGCCGATTCTCCTATTATGGAAAATAATATAGAAAAGGATGTTGAAAGCGAGGTTGACGACCCCCGTCCGGCTGATTTCCCTCATGTTGATTCCGTTGACGAAAGAGATATTGAATCTGCTACTGAACCAACCTCAGACGGTTATATTGTGGACGATTCAACCTTTGATCAAGACGATGATGTTAAAACGCAAACTGTTTCACAGTCATCTATAAGCAAGCATGATGTCGATCCTAGTGAAGTCGTTAGTCAATCAAGTGTTACAGCTCCTAAGGAGCAAAGTATTTCTATCAGTGAAGAAAGTATTGTTAGCAAGCCTTTCACCAGTAAGATTTCTACTACAGAGTCATCTATTACTGAGTCATCTACTACTGAGTCATCTACTACTGAACCTTCTACCACTGAATCATCTACTATTAACATTTCTACTACGGGACCAATTATTAGTAGATCTTCCCTCAAACAGACTACTAGTGAACTCTCCAGTACTGCTAGTTCTGTATCGAAGGCTTCTTCCAAAGGTTTGTCCACCAAAAGATCAAGTAAAACAAGAAAAGCTAAGTCAACTAAGGTAACCACACAACCAAACCCTAAAGCGGCAACCACTGAAGCTCTTCATAAAACAGTATTGAGTAGCAAATTATCGTCTAGCACGTCTTCACCTCCATCGAAAATAAAAAGTGCTACAAAGTCCAGTAGCAAAAAAACAAGAAGTCCGAAGAAGAGTCTCAGTAGAAGACTGACGAAAAGTAGAACTGCTGAACCTAAATCAATGAGTCAATTGCATGATGAATTGTAATTCTTTATGGGGCAATATTCTTATAAATAGTCTTGTGCATAGTATATAAAATTTTGAATTGTAATCATTTGTCATTTATATAAGATTTTGATAACGCGCATCAAAATGACCAAAGCATTTGGTGATATTGACGTTTATTCATCAGACTTGCATATTTAAATCAGTTCCATGATATAATTCCCGTAGTACAAGTGGCTGATTTGTTCTGAAGTTATGAATTCAAATCCGTTTACGAAAAACCTTCAGAATGTTACAGATTCCTCGGACTGGGAATCTACAAAATTGCCAAATCTAAAAGAACTTGATTCACTACACCGTTGCTATATATGTAAAGAATTTCTCAAGGCACCCGTCATAACGAGTTGTAACCATACATTCTGCTCACATTGTATTAGAGAATATCTAATTGTTAACAGTCATTGTCCTTTGTGTAAAGCAGAGCAATTTGAAAGTAATCTCAAGCGGGTTATATTACTAGAAGAGATAGTTTTATGTTTTTCCAAATTCAGACCTATTTTACTAGAGTTGCTTAAGAAAGAGGAGTCTGATGAAGCTTATGACAAAAACAGAAGCCCATCGTCAGAGAAACCGAGCAAAGATGAAGGTTCCCGCAAAAGATCATCGCCCGATCAAGAAGTTATAGAGATATCGTCGGATGAAAGTAACACTCTAGAGTTATCGGAAGCACCAAATGACGTCCCAAGAAAGAAAATAAAGACAGAGAGTAACTCAACTTCACTAAATGCTATTCCGACCAGAGATGAAATGGTGGAATGCCCAATTTGCACGGAAGTAATGTCAGCGGACATACTACAAACGCAGCACATTGATTATTGTTTAAGTGGAAAGGGTCAGCCTTCGAGTTCAAGGTCTTCAGGAAATTCATCTCTGAGATATCAATCTATGAAGAGAAGACAACCCAACAAGTCGAATAACGGAATTTCGTCATTTTTCAAGCCAGCGGATAATAAAGCCATAATGGCAAGTGCTGGTAAGTTGGATTTATCTAAGACAGAAAATCAAAACTTCTACTTTGATGAGGTTTCTAAGCACCACCACAATGATATAAAAAAGCTTTCCAAATTGGATTTCAGCTCATTAAATACTCCTAAATTAAAAGAAAAATTATCACATTTGAAGCTTCCAGTGCAGGGAACTAGAGCCCAGCTTGAATTGAGGTATAACCAATATTATATTTTATTCAATTCAAATTTGGATAGCAATCATCCTTTATCGGAAAAAGTGTTGAAGCAAAAACTTAATCAATGGGAACTTTCTCATCTGGCTTTCACATACCAAGGGTCGACATCCACTTTGTTTAATAATGGAGGTCCTGCTGTGAAGTCTATTACAGACAAAAATTTCTCCGTGGCGGAGTGGTTAGAAGCTAATAGAGACGAATATAAGTCTTTGATTAAAGCAGCTCGAGCATCCATAAAAAAAGCCAATACGAAAAATGCGTCACCTTCGATATCCATTGACACAGGAGCAATTAATACAATGGATAGCCGTCAGGTCGGTGACCAACATGCGAACGAACAGTCTGACTATCGGTCAGAAGCAAATTTAATAGAGCCCATCGATGATGGTGCTTCCGAGGAGAACCAACAGGATGAAATTAGTAATCTTAATTTTAAAAAGGATATTGCTAATAGCCCACTTTTTGTGAAGGATCCAATTAACGAATCTCACAGTAGTTGATTCACTACATTGTATTGTATATTAATTAGGCGGTATTTATAGATTTTGCAGCTTTATTTTTATATTATTTTTTGAGTGCAAATGTGCTCTCTAACTTGGTCTCATCAGTGTAGCATTATATCCTTTCATACATTACTAAATGAATTCACATACACTTGCTATGTATATGTATATAGTATTATACATTTTGTCTGTCATTCTTTCAGTTTGATATTTCTATATAGATTAAGCCGCGTTATTTTGAAGTCTCAAATTGTAATCGGCATCTCAAACTTATACCCATCTTAAGATAAATACATTATTCTCATAGATTTGTTATAGTTAAATATGGATGACTCCTATTCTACGAATAATGAAGCAGCTTTGGCTGTAGTTGCTACATCTATGAAAAAATCTCGTCTACCCATAGAGGTACTACTCGTCAATTCATTTATGGGAGGACTATTATTCAGTACAGGCGGAATGATATCTGTCGTATTAGAATCGTATAATCCGGGTTTGAAAGAGAACAATCCAGGGATTATAGTGTTGCTTCAAGGATTTGCTTATCCAATCGGTTTATTTTATGTTGTTATCACTGGTACGGATTTGTTCAACTCGAATATTTTATTTTTCAGTGTGGGTCTCGTACGAGGAGCTGTATCTATACTAGACCTTATAATCAGTTGGCTTGTTAGTTATTGGATAAATTTAGTAGCGAATATATTTGTCTGTTATGTCATCTGCCATTTTTCCCATATCAGTCAGAAAGAAGATTTTGTGAATGGATCAATTGAAGCTTTGATGCAGAAGGCATCATTTTCGTTCGTTGATAACTTAATTAAAGGTATGGCCGGTAACTTCTTTGTATGTCTTGGTGTATATTTACAAATAATGGTAAGGCCTGTGCATGTTAAGTTTCTCATGTTACTTTTGCCGGTATTATCGCTTATAAGTATCGGCTTCACCCATGCTGTTGCAGATATGTACATCTTACTAATGGGATTAATAAACCATGCACCAATATCTGTTGGGAAGGTTGCGTGGAAGATCATGTTGCCAGGTGCACTTGGTAACATAATCGGTGGCTCGTTCTTTGGAATCGTAATCCCATGGTACTTACATTTGTATAACGTGGAAAGAGATCAAAGAAAATTGAATTTACCCGAATACGATGCAAGAGATGAACAACCACAAATTAACTCTGATTCTAGGGTTGTTAAAAGCAGACCAAGAACTATTACTGAGGAGTTCGAAGAAGTGCCAGAGTCATATCCTATGAAATCTGAAAAGCACGAGAGTTCAAGCTTAAGCTCCGATAATAATGTTAGCGTTGCTCCACCAGAGCAGCTAGTAGATGATATTAGTGGACATCCTGAGAATTTGATTAAAATTTCTTCTAGAGCGTCAGGAATTTCTAGATTTAGTGTTGGTAGTGCTCGTTATGCTGCCAAATCTCCGAAGAATGTTTTCCCTGTATACGGAATGGCACCTCCGAGTGAAAGAGAAAGATCTATTGCATCTGGTATGAATATTGCTGCCATCGACGAAGATCTTGATTCAATTCATACAGGTAAAACTGAATTTCAAAATGACGACGATTCCACATCAGCAACGTATATTGGAGATCACATTAAGAATTTTTTGTCAAATTTGACAGTAAATAAACAGAATAAAGACATCGAATCGCAAAACCAATACCGACCCCCCATGAATAGGAGCCATTCGACGCAAAGCCACCGTGCCGTGAGTAGAAGCCATTCAACACCACATGCGATTGGGAGAAATCAAGCTCTCCAACGATCACATGAATTTGCGAAAAGGCCAAGTAATAGAGTAGCTGCTACTGTTGATGCAGTCCCATTATCGACAAACCTAACAACTCCGACAAGAAACACCGTGCCAAATAACGTGGATAATATTGGTAGTAGATCCTTCACACAACCAGAGGATATATCTCCAGGGCACTCTATCGATTCGGAATTTCAGACAAATAATTTCATTCCTCCTGTACAAAACTCAGATCAATCATCATTTAACATTGTAAACTATCAACCTGAATCACGCGAAAATTAGAATCAATTTATCATTTGCAGTGATTTCAGGATAATCTTATTTATAAACTCCATGTATTAATATAGCTATAAATATAATTTGCATTCATTCATAACTAATTGCAAAAAAAGTAAATTTACCCTTCAGCAACTTTTTGCAACAATTTCTAGTTCTCGACGCAGATCTTTAATATCGAGCTAGTCTCATGTTAACTTTAATTTTAAGTACAACTTGCTTACATTATTAACGGTGAAATTGCAAACTAATCGATACAATAAAGATATAATACATAGAACCTTGTCCCATCGCAACCAGTACATCGTTGGTAATAATGGATGATAAAATATCAAAAAAAAAGTGGACGAGACAGGAATCGAACCAGTGACCTTCTGCTTGCAAGGCAGACGCGCTACCAACTACGCCACACGCCCTTTTTATTTGATTTTATTTTTGGGGAGCAAATAGTCGTTATATTTTACTTAAAACACATTCTATTCTTATAATATTGAAGTGTAACTATATTATTACACGATTATTTATGTAGTAACTATTTCACAAGGTTTAAAGCAATTTATATCGGGCATTGTATAAAACGGAACTGGGATTTTGAGTAAACTAAAAATCCATCGTATCAATAAAAGCCGCACGCAATGAGGACCAAGAAGCTACAAAAAAAAATTCAGATGAGGTCTACTAATTCTAGCAGCTCTTCTTCAACTTTAAAGAACGTTATAGGAGTAGATGGGACAAGATAAAAAGAACCTAACAGCTGCTGCTGCCGCGGCCTATGTTGATGACTCAACAACTTGGGAATCATTCGGTTTAGATGCTCGTTTATTACAAGCTATTGACCAATTAGGGTTTGAAAATCCAACATTAATCCAATCAAGTGCCATTCCTTTGGCCATAGAGGAAAAAAGAGACATAATTGCTAAAGCTTCTACTGGTTCAGGTAAGACGGCTGCGTATAGTATCCCTATTATTCAGAATTTATTGCAAGACGAATCGACTGAAAGAGAAATTAAAAGTATTATACTTGTTCCAACCAGAGAATTATCAAATCAAGTCAGTCAATTTTTGGAAAAACTATTAATATTCTGCAACAGTAAAATCAGGCTAATTAATATATCGTCAAACTTATCAGATCAAGTTATTAATTCGTTATTAATAAACAAGCCGGAAATAATTGTATCTACGCCTGCTAAATTGATTCAGATTCTTGAGAAGAACGTAAATTCGAATTTAATCAACTTGTCCACTGTGAAAAACTTGACTATTGATGAAGTTGATTTGGTATTGTCATATGGTTATTTAGAAGACTTGCAAAAACTTGAATCCTATTTGCCAATTAAAAAGAATTTACAAACATTTTTAATGTCGGCCACCATAAACGATGATTTAAATGACATCAAGTCTAAGTTTTGTTCTAGGCCAGCTATTTTAAAGCTTAACGATGAAGATTCCAATCAAAATAGTTTGGTTCAATATTATGCCAAAACTACTGAATTCGATAAATTTTTATTAACCTACGTTATTTTCAAGTTAAATTTAATTAAGGGCAAAACTTTAGTTTTCGTAAACAATATAGATAGAGGTTACCGTCTTAAATTATTTTTGGAACAATTTGGAGTTAGATGTTGTATTTTGAATAGTGAATTACCAATTAATTCGAGGTTAAACATTGTTGAGCAATATAATAAGAACGTTTACAACTTGCTTATTGCTACTGACGAAACTAATGACTTTACTATAGAGGAAGATGAAAAGGATGAAGGAGAAGAAATAGAAGAAAACAAGAATGATGAACATGATGGAAAGACATCCAAAAATACAAAGAAACCGAAGCAAAAGAAAGATAAAGAATATGGTGTATCAAGAGGTGTCGATTTCCGTAATGTAGCCTGTGTTTTGAATTTTGATTTGCCTACTTCTTCTAAATCTTATATACATAGAGTCGGGAGAACAGCAAGAGCTGGTAAATCAGGAATGGCTTTATCCTTTGTTTTACCAATTAACGAATTTGGTAAACATAAAACTGCATCATTATCCACTGCCAAGAAGGATGAAAAGGTTTTGCGTCGTATTGTTAGACAACAATCCAATAATGGCTTTGAAATCAAACCCTACCAATTTGATATGAAACAAGTTGAAGGATTTAGATATAGAGCTGAAGATGCTTTCAGAGCGGTTACGCAAACTGCTGTTAGAGAAGCCCGTATAAAAGAATTAAAGAATGAATTGGTCAACTCTGACAAGTTAAAGAGATTCTTCGAAGAGAATCCGCAAGATTTGGCATCATTAAAGCATGATAAAGAATTACATCCAACTAGGGTTCAAACTCATTTAAAGAGAGTGCCAGAATATTTACTTCCTGAAAGTGCAAGGGCGGATCACAAAAAGATCGGTTTTGTTCCATTCCACAAGAACAAAGTACATAAGAATAGGAAAAGAAAGCCATCTGGTAGAAAACCAGATCCTTTGAAGTCATTCAGACCTAAATGAAAAACTTTATAGATAATAAATATGTCGTAACAGTAACCTTTTTTGAATAAATTATCATTCATTCAATATTTTATAATTTTTCGCAGTTAAACAGAATTTACGAATTTTCATAGAATAAAAGAAGTATACAATATATTATAGTAAGCTATATATTCCTAATACAATACTCTAAACGTCTTGAATCTTTCATTAATGAGACAGTACAACTTTTTAGCGAGCCACTTATTGGTAAAAGTCCTACTTGCTTTCAGCTTTTAGCAAAAAGGCTGCAATGTATCAAATGTCTACTGTTCTATTCGTCTTTAATTTGATAATCTATGATTTAAAAAGTACATATAGAGCAATTAAATAAAGTAAAGTGTTCTGAATTATACAAGTAAAGAATCTATTTGGAACATTAACTTAGCTTGCTTAGTATGATATTCCACACCAAATTGGCTAAACAATTTGCAGGTACTATCATATTCTTGGGAATATATATAAATGTACCAATAGAAAACAAAGGCCAGTAACAGTAACTGTACTTCAAAGACTTGATATACTTCTGTCTTGTACTGGCCGAGATTTCACCGTTCTCCCATAAACTACTTAGTATATTGAACACCATTTGAAAAGTAGGTGCTCCGACTAATTGGTCCACAAATATTCTATGCAACGTTTTGTCGAACTTGCTCATCAACAATTCAACCCAAAGAGCGGTAAAAAATCCATTAATCGACCCCCATACTACGAACTTGCATACCCTCCTAAAGTTCAATTTCTTATTAAAATATTGGTTAATAGACTGTGCTAATGCTGCTGTGGATGATCCAAGTAATGTTGGTGCCACAAGAGGGTGTATATTGATCAACACGTTATAGTTACAGTATAATGAGAGGGAAATAGTGCTCTCTATGAGTAGATATATTATCAATTTTCGCTTGAGTGGTTTTGGTGCTGGATATAATGGTGGATTGGTCTCATCCAAGCTTGATGCCGATTTTTCTAGATCCCGATATAACTTTTCCTCCTTCAAGCTTGATAGCTCAATATCAGGCATTATATAAGCTAGCTCTGCTTCAAAAACACCTATATACCTACAATTTAACCATTTCGACGTGTTTACTCGTATGGTGATTTCAAAATGTGCACGTGTCCCAGCATGCCAAAATTCTTTTCATCCTTATCTATATCTGTCAAACGACAGCAGTAAAATCTTACGGCAAATTAATATAGGTAGATCTTTATACCTATAAAGTATGCAATTGTAAACTCTGTATGCGACGAGTGTTTATGGGCAAGTGAGCTAATTTTTGCGTTTAATATTCTACCGTTCATTGATATATACAATTTAGCTCTTAATATTAACGTATAGATGCGAAACTCTTTCGACAACATATAGAGCTTATATTGGCATAGGCGGGGATTTTCCAACAGTATAAACGTTATTTTATACTATCCTCTATCAGTGAAACAGAAAGGATGCAAAGCAAATTAGTCGTAGGTTCTATGAGAACCCAAATCCAGCGAATTCGCATCTATCTATGAGTATTTTGATTTCTTTTCCGGGACGACTATCGTGATTTCTTCGGCGGTGCATATTTCATCGGATAGACTTTATCCTCAGAGTGGTATAATTTAGGGTCCACATTTTTGGTGAACCCGCTTAAATGTTTTGCCGATACCGATGATTAATCTAGGGTGTCGATAGTTGCCTGTTTCTGTTTCTCAATGGCTAAAGGCACTACAAGCAAGTCATATAGTACCTAGATCCTTCCAATATGTGGTAATTGTTGATACACCGTCAACATTAACATCCATCGGGTATGCAAGCATTCCTGTCTTCACTATTGTCTGAATCACAGTGCGCATACTCAAATCAGAAGCCTTAATACATTCAACGTACTAATAGTCTACTAGTCTATAACTACAATGCAATAGCTCGCTGAAATATCAACAAATAATAATCGTACTATATATGAAAATAATTCAAACGTTGATGATTCAATTCAATGGAATCCGATGTATTTTGCACCTTTTTTCCACCAAGTAAAAAATAAATCAAAGCACATTCCTACATTTCACACAAGAAATTCTTCGACAACCATCTAAAATTGTTAAGGTGCTAAGACATTGTCAGCGACCTGTTACATCGTTTATTCACTCTACTCTACCCTGAACTAGCTGCTTACACGACTGAAATTATCTTTTTTGTTCAATTTTTCTTAGTAATCTCCACAAAAAGTACGGGGGAAAATTAAACTCCCGATTCAAGTCGGTCCGAAACGTTGCGCATTTCTTTTATTATATAACTAATACCAAATATCCTTCAAAGAAGGTAATCTTGCTTTCAAAACTTCATACTTCTATTGGCTATAATTATGAAAAAAAATGAACCTAATGGTCTAAAAAGAGACAGTGAGGAGTCATCTCAAATGCCTAGCGATGGAGAGAAAAGTGACGATGCAAGGTTTGAAGTGGTATTCGATGGAAATGGAGATGATAAAGAAGACATGAGGAATCTTTCAAATTTACATAAATGGATCATAGCAATAATTATCTCTGTAACGTCGTTTTGTGTGACATGTACATCAGCAGCATGGTCGATGGCCTCAGACAACATAATAGAGCATTTCGGCATTAGTCATGAGGTTAGCACATTGGGAATTTCGTTGTATGTGTTTGGATTAGGGCTAGGAGGAATATTTTTGTCACCTATCAGTGAGTTCCATGGACGGAAAATCACATACATTATTTCATTATCATTTTCGTTTGCATTTCAATGCCTCACGGCATTTAGTCCCAACATAGGAAGTATGTTATTTGGAAGGTATATGTCTGGATTCTTTGGATCGGCTTTCATGAGTGTAGCAGCTGGGTCTTTGGCGGATATCTTTGCCAAAGATGAAATGTCTACGCCCCTCTTGCTTTACACCATCTCCCCTTTTGTTGGCCCAGGTGTACTGCCACTTATTTCTGGATTTATTAACTCGAATTTGTATTTCCGATGGACATTCTATGTAATGTTGATATGGACGGGGGTGCTAGTCGGCATGATAGTCATTTTTGTCCCTGAAACCTATCAGCCAGTTCTATTAAAGATGAAGGCCGCGAGACTCAGAAAAACAACCGGCGACAATAGGTTTTACGCTCCATTAGAGAGAGACCCAACATCTTTGTTTGAAAGTACTGTATTGTCATGTAAGAAACCCATCTTGTTGATATTCAAGGATTACATGACGTTGGCATTATGTTTTTACACGGGGTTCGCATTGGCTATTGTCTACTTGTTTTTTATTGCACTACCATATATTTACAAGACAGTATTTGAATTCAAGCTTGCATCACAGGGGTTGGCATTCCTAGGTCTTATCGTTGGAATGGCTCTAGCATCACTTGCATCACCTTCCCTTTTTGATAAGCAATATTTAAGATTAATAGAAAAAAATGGGGGAGTTCACAAGCCTGAATTCAAGTTTCTTCCGTTGATGGCTGGTGTATTTTTCATCCCAGTCGGGTTATTTATCATGGCATGGACTTCATACCCCCACCTTCACTGGATTGGCCCCATTATAGGGTCCTCCATTTTTGGTGCGGGCACAGTATTAATTTTTAACGGTGTATTCGCATACACTGTTGATGCCTATAGATTATATGCTGCTTCTGCAATGGCCACCAATACCTTTATTAGATGTACAATGTCGGGTGTATTTCCGCTATTTGGATTACAGATGTACGAAGGTATGGGCATTCAGTGGGCAACAACTTTCTTGGCCCTTGTCGCTTGCGCTATGATTCCAGTGCCCTTCATTCTATATAAGTATGGTCCATATTTAAGAAGCAAGAGTTCTTTTACGTGGTCATGAGTTTTACTTCTCAATCATTATTAACTCTATAATAGATGCCGTATTAATTCAATACTTCGTAGTTTGTTCAAATTTCTTACATAATCCCTTAATCACTAAGTCAAGTTGTGGTTGCACTATAGTTCTACGGGTATATGCCCGTCTTGCAAGCCTATAGAGAATAGGTTTACCCTTCTCCAATATTACCGTATCTGACATATAATTTATAAATAGATAACTTAAAATGTAGAATTTAATGATCTATATATGCATGCTTCTATTCTTAGTTGCGATAAATATTTACGTTCGCAACCTCAAGCTTCTTTTTGCATCCGTTTTGGTCATTAGTAGTTAAAGAAGATACTAGCGACTCGGGGTAGAATGGAATAGGCTAGCGTAAATAATAAATCTTTAATTAGACTACTAATGGGTTTAATTAATCGTATAATATAGAAATCACTCACGGTGTTCTTCAAAATGATGATATCAGATGCTATTTTTATAAATGCCAAAGGTATATAAATACAAGACAGATATTCTTCCGATAAGATTGATATTTTATTATCAGATATAACTATTACAATATATTAAACAGCAAAATGAAATTCGGCACATTATCCTTACTAGCTTTAACAGTAGCTTCAGTTACTAATGCAATTCCAGTCGCGAGAGGAGACTTCAAAGACATACATTTCGGTATTGAGGCATCAAATTCTGGAACCAAATTTGACTGCGACCCAATTAAGAAGGTCGACAGCCATCCTCATGTCTTCTGTGTTGGTGGTGATGACGGTAACGATGTCTCTTTAACATTGAGGGAAGATGGATCCTTAGTTGACCAAGACAATCGTGGTATCTACATCGACCCAAATACTGGTGAGTTCGGAAATGTCGATCCATGGGGCGAACAACAACCATCTTGCGGCTTCGAAATTAAAGACAACCATTTGGTCTACCAGGGCACAAACGACTGGAAGGCATGTCCAAGTGGACCAGATATCTACTCCTTGTCAAGAAATGACTGTACTGGCGGTACTGACATCGATTTGAAGGTTCTCGACCCACATTGCGACTAGACGTCCTACGCATTATACGACCACTGGGTGGTTGTCAAATTTATTCATTCAATACGATCCATTCATTAGTTTCTTCCTATACCTTTATCTATGTTTTACACCATTAAATATACGCCGGCATAAAAGGACTGTACTTTCTCTATATTTTTGCTTGGAAGCATTTTTGAATATTTTTGCGGTTATGATGCCCTGATTATCCTCGAAGATGCTGGAAATCTATACCGTCTTTCGAGATCCAATATTGATACCAACGCTGAAGTTGTATTCTAAGTAACGGAACAGCTGTGTGTAAGTGATCGAAAATGGTAGTCCATAACCCAAATAACTGGTATGTATACATGAACTTTTAAGCTAAAGAAGTGGGGGGACTAAGGACTAACCATCGTATGTAGGCACTGGGTAGACAAAAATTGTCTTCCATGGTCAAAAGATTATTTCCAAAAGGAAATAATAAATACTTGCTTTGAAAGTGATACGTTGAAGATCTCTTTAGACAAAGTTGATTCTATTACCGGAGATTGTAATGTTACTCAAAGAAAAGGAAAAGCGTTATGTATCTACGATATGAAATTACAATTTTCGATCAATGGAGTTACCAAGAACGAAGATGAGACGTTCACAGGTACTATAGTTGTTCCTGAGTTCATTCATGACCAAGATGAAGATGAATATGTTTTTGAAATCGATTCAGAGAACTATAAAATAGAGATTAGAAAGTTTTTCATTCCTATTTTGAAGGAAAAGTTGATGAACTTTCAAGGCGATTTAGTTAAGGCCCACGAAAAGGACGTTCAGCATAATTCAAGTTAGATATTTGTTCATGAATATTTACATACTTATATATATAAGAATAAGTGGACTTTGTACAAAATTTGTAGATGCTTTAGCTATCAAAACCTTCAGGAACTCCTTTTGCATGTTTTTCGGTACCGTCTCTAGACCCAAGGTAGAGCTCAACAGGTCCATTATCATTATCGGTTTCGTCAATGCTGTACCAAGGAACGTTACCCTGTTCAATAGTTTTCAAAAACCTGTATGTCTCGACACTACTATACGGTATACCATTGGACGGATCAAAATATTTAACTTCCGTGCCTGATATTAAACAAACCTTCTTATTTCCATTTGGTAAGTAAATACCTGTTGGTGCTTCTGTTTTTAATACTATAGGAGCATTTTCCTCTTGGGTGTCTTCTTCAATTTCCTCTACTACAGCTTGGGTAATGCCCAATTTAGGCAATCTTTTAAGTTCATCGAACATTGCATTATCTTCAGTGAGTTCTGAAACCGGCTCAAATAATTCATCTTTTTCTTGCTTCACAGTTGCATAAGGGTTTTCTACCTCGCCTATTCTTAGGATGGTTTTCAAATCCTTAAATCTTCTGGAAGCTGGAAGAAGCGATTGTGGTCCAAATAGCATGGCTTTAATGTTAGCATTATCGAGTTTATAGCTCGGATCCCTATCCTCTTCAAAGTCAATAAGATATATCATATTACGGGCCACCCTTTGCGGTGGTCCTTCAAAAGTTTCAGGAATAATTTCAAACTCGGCATCAGGCGTGGAATAATTTGTATCATAAGGTTCGGTCCCCTCCCTTTGTTCTTGTTCTAATTCATCAGCAAATTTAACTCTCTTCTCTTCCTTCACTTCATTAGATTCATCACCTTTATTATTTATCAAGTTTTCCTCATTGGAGACAATATAATCAGTAGCTGCTTGCGTTTCTCCATCATCATCTTCAGACTTACTTGTGTCCTCCTTTGAACTTTGGTTTATCAAACCATCGTTGGAAGATTGTTCTTCTTTTATAGGTACATCAACAAGCGGTTTACTATTAGAGGCCGAATCATTCTCAGTTAACTTTTCATCGTTATTATCCAAATGGTTATCAATTACTTCATCATTCTCTGACGCTTGATTAGAATTATTTGTTGTATTATTCTTGATTGTAATTTCTTTTGATATGTCCGGATTGGCATTTTTATCATCTTCGGTGCTAATGGTTTGAGTTTCAGCTTCCTCATTAGACATTTTTTCACCGGTAACTTCCTTAGACTCACAAACCTGCTCAGATATATCCGAGGGCTCTTTAGTAGGTGTGATAGACTTATCAATTTCAATATTTTCAATTTCTCTATTACCATCAACAGCTTGGCTAACAGGGATTGTAGCAGCGGTTTCCTCTATCTGGTTACTTTTAGCTTCCATTTCTTCTTGAATTCGCTTTTGTTCCAATTCTTGTTTTACAATTGGCAACTCAGTATCAACTTCTCCAGGAAGCCGTCTTACTTCTGAGTCCTTTGTAACTTTCTTTTTTCTTCCAAGCTTTTTTCTCGACCTGATATTCATTAGTTCACGCATGTGTCTATCCTCATTTATTTCGTCCAATGGAGTTATAAGTCTCTCTTCACTCACCATTCTTATTACATTCTTGAGCTGCACTTTCCGCAGTAATAATAGTTGTTTTTGTCTTTCTTTTTTGACTATTTCTTGATCTCTAAATTGTTGCAATGATAATATATTAGCCTTTTCTGTCTCTATTGCTTCAGCAAGTTTTTCTTCTTGAGTCAAATCGACGTGTTTTACACGGACAATTGGGGCAACTTTGGCTCGCCGTTTTTCGTTCTCCTTCAATTTTTGAACTAACGCTTCCTTATTTTCTACTGCAGTTGATCTCGAAGATGATCTTCTCATCGATAGCAATAATGAAGCTGACGATGTTAATCCTTTCGGTTTCTTGGCCTTTGGCTTTTCATTCAACTTAGGCTGTTTGATAGTAGGTACGAGACTTTGTTTCTTTTTTATTCTTTTCTGCTTCATCTTTTCTTGTTTTTGAAGTTCTTTCTCCCCTTCACTCTCATCTGATTCTGACATTGATATATCAGAGTCAGAGAGAACGTCGTCTGAATTAACTTGTTCAGCTTCATCGTCAGACTCATGAGACCTTTTCTTATTTTCCTCTTCCTCCTTTATCTTCTCTTCCTCTTCGCCTTCCCCTTCTTCCCCTTCTTCATTCTCATCATCTTCATCTTCACCTTCTTCATCATCTTCTTCAAAAAACTCCTGGTCATCTTCATCTTCTTGAAATAATAAATTCACATTTTCATCTTCTTCATTTATTATTGAACTTACAGATTCTTGTACATCACTGGCTCTTTCTTCTAATTCAATTAAATGCTTAAGACGTGAACCAGCATTAGAACGTCTAGATCTAGTAGCAACCAAGCTATCTTCGTCCGACATTATTCTATTACGTAAAGTTAAAAAAGCGAGCTATCTTTCTGTTTCTTTGGATAAATTTTGAGATTGAGATTAAAATATGATTTTCGAAAAGGATCTTAGAAAAAACACTTATTGTTAACACATTTCATTTGAAAGCATTCACAATTATGAAACTGATAAATGTTAGATATACTCTAGGAAAGGTGTCTTTCAGTAGACAATTGTCAACGTCGACATCTTTATTGCATAATAATACGAAGTTTACAGCAGCATCAGAAGATGAAATGTCACACTTCAATGCTTTGGCTTCAACATGGTGGGATGTTAATGGTTCCCAAAGAATATTACACAAGATGAACTTATTAAGGATGGATTTCATTCACGATAACGTAAGATCACATTTAACGTTAAACAAGCCAGGAACTCCACAAGATGAAGAAATTTATATTCCTCCTTACAATGTTGATTTGTTACCAAAACCCATAAAAAATAGAATATTGATGGAACAAGAATTGAAGAGAGATGAAATTTTAAACAACTCAAGATTGAAGGTATTGGACGTAGGTTGTGGAGGAGGTATTTTGTCTGAATCGTTAGCTAGGTTGAGCTTTATTGAAAGTGTCCAAGGAATTGATTTATCCACCGAAGTCTTGGAAGCTGCCAAGTTGCATAAAACAAAGGACCCACTTCTTACTCAATCTAAGAAGTTGAACTATGAATTGAAAGCTATTGAGGATTTACCACTTAATGCGGAATATGATATAATTACGATGTTTGAGATGTTGGAGCATGTTACTTATCCATCCAGAGTCTTAATAGAGGCTTTGCTGAGGGTCAAGGTTGGTGGATGGGTATTCTTATCAACAATAAATAGAGATTTTGTTAGTTGGTTTACTACTATTTTTATGGGAGAACATGTATTAAGAATTGTTCCTGTGGGAACGCATTCGTTAGACAAATATATAAATCAAGGGGAAATAAAGAAATGGTTGGAAGAGGATCCAGAAAGAAAGGAATGTTTTGATGTTGTTGATGCTAAGGGTTGTGTCTATTTGCCTGCCTACGGATGGAAATTCACTAGCAGTCCTAACGTAGGAAATTACTTCATGGCAATCCAAAGAAAAAATTGATTTATTATTGTTTAGATATGTAAATAGAGTACAAGGAAAATTTAAAGCATAAGGAATTAAACCTAGATGGCAACTTTTGTAGGGTTTTCGTCGGTGGGTTCATCAATAAATGTCGGTAAGTTTTCGGTACCTGTTTGTTCACTGTCGTTCAAATAACTAGGTACGCCAACGCCGCTTTCAGCCATCTCATTCTCAAAATCCATTTCTTCACCCAACGCATCTAATTCAGCGTCTAATTCAGATTCACTTATCTCATCCGGAACGTCATAGCTCGTCAGTAATGATTCTTGTAATTCGTTTGATTTGTCAATCAAATCAAGCATTTCATCCTGTAATGCTTCGATCTTATCAACATCTATTTTACCATATGTTTTTTTGAGTTGTTTGTTAGCCGCCTTCATTGCATCAACTGTTATCATCGTATTCTGCAAGTTGTCTGTAGTCATTGCTGCTTGAGTCATATTCCACGATTGGTTTTCTAATTGATCTTTTTGAGATTCCACCTGCTTTCTTTGTCTTAATAATTTAAGTGCTTTTTGTTTCAATGCAGATTTACCTGGCCCATCCCTCATCCTGGCTATCTTTTGTTGATAAGTAGATAATTCTGCGTTTATTTTGGATAATTTTACATCGAAACTCCCAACTCTGTCATCTATATTTTTTACAGCATCGTTCAACGATGGTTTTGGCGCCGTGTTTTTAGACCCAAAAAGTCTATTCATGATTAATCCCTTCTAGTTTTTGAATTCTTTGAATATCTTATATAGATGTAGTTTTGTAATATGTACTTCCCTAAGAATGATCAGTAGTGCGAAAACCATGAAACTACACCAACGTCTATATCTTCACAGAACCTGTATAGTAATGTAGGCGTTAACAGCGTTTCATTTGTGTCAGCCTCCATAGACTTAGAATGTGAATGTTCGCCAACATAGAGAATATTGACTTTATATAAATACCAAAACTGTTGAGCATGTATGAATCTCAATATATCTTTACACTTGGATAAGTGCTTCACTAGCTCAGTTGGCAGAGCGTCAGTCTCATAGTTAATTAACTGTGTCATCTGAAGGTCGACAGTTCGAACCTGCCGTGGAGCATTTTTTTTACTATATTTTATTCTCATCAAATGCTAGTACTCCAGTTTAGCTAACTCTTTTCTACCATATTAATTCAAGCTAGTATCATTTATAATGCCTGAAGTAGCAGAAGTATGTATAATTGATTTAGAATATGAAGGGAAGCTACTAATACTTACGTCAGGTCGCCCATGTGTGTGCTTTGATAAGGAGAAATCTACTTGGATTCAGAATTTCCAAAGTTAAGATGAATGATGATCCACTCCTATTTCCTTTTTTGAAAAATAATCCCAATGCAGAGCAAGAGTTGGCTGATTTGCAGTTGACATTAACAGGATCCACTGTCAAGTCTGTTGGACGACACGGAAAGTACTTTTGGTTACGGTTGAGCCTTAACAAAGAATCAAAGGATGAAACTGGCATTTTATTGATGCATTTTGGAATGACAGGCATGATTAAAATTAGGGACGTCAAATCCCATTTAATATTCATGGAAAACGGTGGTGATAAGAAAGTGTTGAAGAAGTTGGAAGAGGAGAAAAAGTCAACTGGGGCTCAATCGAAGTATTTCAAAAAAGAGGAGAGTGACGACGCCAAATCGTCGGATGAAGGCAATTCATTATTGAAACCCCTAAAAAATAAGACAGATATAAAATTGGAGGATACCAAAGAGCTAGAAGGAATGGATGAACCCGATGAGGAAGAATGGCCACCCAGATTTGTTAAATTCGAAATGGAATTGCAAAGAGACAAAGAGACATTCGACCTTGCTTTTGTTGATCCAAGAAGGTTAGGTAGAGTGAGATTTCTATCTGGTCCATTGGTTCAATCAGATAAGGATTTAATGAAACAAGAGCCATTGTCAGCATTGGGGCCTGATTATTCAAAACCGCTTGAAATACCCAAGACAGAATTTACAACAGGAGATCCCGATCCTGACAACCATGGAAAATGTAGGTTATCTCTTGAGGAATTTAACAAATTAATATTGTCCAAGAAAAAGCCTATTAAAAGCTTATTACTTGAGCAGGAGGTTTTTGCTGGTGTGGGAAATTGGGTAGGTGACGAGATTCTTTATCACGCCAGGATTCATCCCAATGAAGTGTTGAGCAGTAAAATACCAAAAGGCGATTCAGTGGATAGTATAATCGAAAGACTATACAACTCAGTATTATACGTATGTGAGTTGAGTGTCCGTGTAGAAGGAGATGTTTCTCAGTTTCCTTCAAATTGGCTCATGATTTACAGATGGGGTAAGAGGCGGAAGAATAGTCCTAAGCCGAAGACTGATGAAGGATATGATGTTGATCATGTCACAGTTGGTGGAAGAACAAGCTGTTTTGTCCCAAAATTACAAAAGATGATAAGCAAACTGGCTGCATCCGAAATTCGGGATACCAAGGAATTGAAAACCAAAGAAAAACCCAGAAAGAGAAGAAAAGCGTAGATTTCCGTTGTAGAATACATACTGTATAATTGAAATTAAATGCCTTCTACCGATTTATTACTGATAGAGAGGAGAAACCTGGATATTTGTTGGAATCGTATTTGGTCCAGTCGTCCCAAAATGCCAGTAGCATTTTAGGAAGTTCCACGCGATTGTTCACCTCTTCCTATCTAGTCGTAGGGGTTGGCATCGCGTGAGGAGAGCAGGCCGCGTCGCTTATGCTTCAGCCAATCTGTCGCTCCAAAGTCCCATTCTACAGGAACAAACCGCCTTATTCAGAAATAAAATCTTACGTACTCCGATCGTTGTTATTGCCTAACGCTTGGTTATAGTTCCGAAAATTCGGCATTATATCCACTTGTTGATATATACATTTAGTGCCCACTTTTGATCGAAGAAGCATCGTGAATATATATGTTATTTTCTAACCAATTTTTCCAGTTCTTAACTATCAAAACCTCGTCCCATCACATTCATTGATTGAAGCTTTTTGGACAGACTACTGACACCATTCTCTCAAGAACCATACGTATATCACCCCATATAGTATATACTTATGCTGCAAAAGTTTATCCGCCGTGTCAATAATCGGAAAAATCCTGATCTCCGCTAACTATTCCGACATCACCCGTTTGCAACTAAGCGCTTACACCAAAGCCAACATTTTGAAGGATGTTCGAACTAATAGTTGTGGATTATTCCACCCGAATCTATATTTTCAGCTCGAGTGGGCAATTACAACCTTGCAATCCCCCCGTCTGTAATCATTAATTCCGTTCCCTACGCTCATTAGGCGCATGTTGCCTGTTTTGTACCATGGTGAAAACTTCTGTCAAAAACCCCGTCCCCTCGTTCTTCTAAGGAAAATCACGGAATACTGAGGGGTGCAAAAAAGTCCTTTCGACATCCGGTGGTCCCATCACGTGCAGATAAACTCAAATGGATTCTAAAATTAATATTGCAAATTATAGTTCTCTTGCATGTAACACTTCAATAAAGAAACCTTATAAAGTAGTAAGGGCAGCAATTTCATCTCCTGGTGTCAATGGAGGGCCTGCAAACAAACTCATTGTAATGGTAATGTGTATATAAGACGAAAAATATGGATTCTAACTGAGCGACTGGAATCTGGTGCCGCTGGTGCGATAAAAAAAGTTGTCGGAAATTCTCGTTTCTTAAAGGTGATATCAGAATTTACGGACCTAAACCGGTTTTGCTCCACCTGGGATGGAATAAAAATTAATATAAAGTAGCACGATCCAGAAAAATCGGAAAAGTCATGTTAAGTTATTGTCGAGGATTATAATTACCGTGAATAGTGTATTTATGTACTAAATTGGAAAGCGAAAAAAAAAAACGTTAGAACGATGCTTAAAGCTAATAATCTCAATACTAGAATAGCCAAGACGACAAGAATTGGCAAAATCCAATTTCGAAGTAATAGCAATGGTGTGAACAATTCGAATTCATCGACCCACACACATACTATCAAAACACCAGTTGGAATCAAGGCAGCAATTGCATCATTGAAGCCTAAGACCACTAGATTATCCATTGAGGGTCCAATAGAATGCGATTTGCAAGGATTTGCGCTTTTGAATGCTCCTGGGTTCAATAAGGGATCGGCGTTTAGCAAAGAAGAAAGAAAGGCGTTTGGATTGGAAGGATTATTGCCGTCAAGAATAAATTCGTTGGACGAACAAGTAGAAAGAGCTTACAGACAGTTTTCTTACTTGAAGACTCCGTTAGCAAAAAATGACTTCTGTACCTCTATGAGGATCCAGAATAAGGTATTATATTATGAATTGGTAAGACGCCATATTAGGGAAATGATCCCTATTATCTACACGCCAACAGAGGGTGATGCCATTGCTGCTTATTCGCATAGATTCAGGAAGCCCGAAGGATGCTTTTTGGATATCACCGAGCCAGATATGATCGATAAGAGATTATCGGCTTTTGGTGAAGACAAAGATATTGATTATATAGTTGTTTCCGATGGTGAAGGTATTTTAGGTATTGGTGATCAGGGTGTCGGCGGCGTTAGAATTGCCATTGCCAAATTGGGATTAATGACCTTGTGTGGTGGTATCCACCCAGGAAGAGTATTACCAATTGTTCTCGATGTGGGTACTAATAACCAAGAATTACTCCATGACGAATTATACATGGGCAACAAATTTCCAAGAGTTCGTGGTAAAGAATACTGGGATTTCATAGATAAATTCATTAATGCTGTTAAGCAAAGATTCCCAAATGCTGTTTTGCATTATGAAGATTTTGGTGTTTCAACTGGTAGAAAAATGTTGCAAAAATATAGAGAATCATTACCTTCTTTCAACGATGACATTCAAGGTACTGGTGCCGTTGTTATGGCTTCCATGACTGCTGCTTTACAATTTTCTGACAGAAATTTATTAGATTCAAAGGTTTTAATTTATGGTGCGGGTTCTGCAGGTATAGGTATCGCTGACCAAATTGTAAATCATATGGTTAGTCATGGCGCTACAGAAGAACAAGCAGTTGCATCGATTCATTGCATGGATCGTCGTGGTTTACTTTTGAAATCATTCGATGAAATGTCTGACGCACAAGCCAAGTATGCTGATGTAGATAGTGAATGGGAAGGAGTAGACACAAGAAATTTGGTTGAAGTTATAAGACATGTCAAGCCTACAGTTTTGGTTGGGTGTTCTACTCAGGCAGGTGCATTTACAGAGCAAGTTATTAAGGAAATGTATAATCACAACAAACAACCAATCGTTTTCCCATTGTCAAATCCAACAAGATTGCACGAAGCTTTCCCTATAGACATTATGAAATGGACGGATAACAGGGCATTAATTGCTACTGGTTCACCATTTGAACCTGTTAACGGGTTTGCAATTTCTGAGAACAATAACTGTTTTACTTTCCCAGGTATTGGATTGGGTGCTGTATTGTCAAGATGTACAACAATCTCAGATACTATGGTATCAGCAGCAGTAGACCAGTTAGCCCTGTTATCTCCAAAAATGGAAAGCCCTAAGAATGGCTTATTACCAAGATTAGAACAAATCGATGAAGTGAGTGCGAAGGTTGCAACCGCCGTTATTTTACAATCATTAAAAGAAGGTACAGCAAGAGTTGAAAGCGAAGAAAAGCCTGATGGTGGGTTTGTTGAAGTACCAAAAGAATTTAACAAGTGCTTAAAATGGGTTCAGTCACAAATGTGGAAACCAATTTATAGACCATTGGTCAAAGTCAAGCATGTTCCAGAAGTTCATACATATCAACACTAGTTATTAATTTTTTTTATCACTCACATCTGAGTCTATCAGTCATTTGCTTTTAGACTATTTACGAAGTTTCTGAAAGTTTTTACTCATTTAGGTCAATCATAGAATATATTAATTTAATTATAATAATACATTATTTAAATAACTGCTATACTAGAAAAGAATCATTATGTACATTCAAAGTCATGTTTATATAATTATAATGTATCATTTAAGAATTTGACTATTCTTGTAATGCCATAGAATTCCTTGTCATCTATGTGGTTAATATCTAGAGAAGACTTTGTTGGATCGCTTTCTTGTTTCTTGATTTTCAG